TTATCAGTTCGAATCAAAATATCATTCACTGAATTGCATAAACAGTAGCATACAGGAGTATATTGTAGTTAAAAGACAAACGCACATACGCCCATACTATACGGTCAAATCTCATACATACTGTATTCACAAACTCCGCTATATTCGATGATATTAGATAATTGCCCTCGCACCAATCGACGGGCGAACTGCCCGGGCGCAAATGCTCCCAAGCCATTGCGTAAAAGTCTGTTGTAGTAGCAATATTTATTTATTTATTTTTTTCTTCTTTTTTTTTAAGTAAACAAATGTACAATGAAAATCTGAGCCAGCATACAACCGGATAAGAATATATATGTTTGCGACTGCACTGTTTGCTCTTTGTCTCACGAGCAAATTTCTTCAATACTCTGACTAGTTTAACTTCTTGGTGCGTGCGTTGGCTTTTGGTGTGTAATGATTTTTTGGCACGTTTTTCTTATTTTATTCCAATAATTTCAAAATGTTTGGTCTTCTTTTTTTTTTTTTTTTTTTTTTTTTTTTTTTTTACCCACAAAAAATCTAAAGCTATTAATTACTGCTCACAAATATATTTGCATATGCCTATATTATGTTTCTTTCATATTATGTAATTTTACGTAATTGAATTTTCTTAAATAAATTAAATTTTTAATTTAAGTTCATTTATGCTTTATAATCAATCCTTTGTTCATCATATATGACTTTTTCAAGTTTGTGCGTTATTAATCATTTGCCTTTACAATTAACAACTAATCCATGCATTTGGAACTTCGGTCTAGCGCAATGCACACACCAACCACCCGTCATGGAAATCAAAAATCAACTATTTTCAACTGTTCTTTGTTGTTTTGTTGCTTACTGCACTCTGAGATTTTTCCGGTGTGGCTACTTTAAATGTTTTTTTTATGAATTATTGCGTGTTTAAATCTATATTTCTAATATTGCCTTATATTGTGTTCGATTAAAGCTAAAGAGATATGGAAAAGCGCGAGCTCATAGAATTTGAAAACAAATTTTTTTACCTAATGAACAATAGCTTGAATTGATCGTAAGATTTTTAACACGAACTTAATATCATTTATTTTACATTTTGTCAGTTTTAGGTTTAGAAAACCAAAAAAAAAAAAAAAAAAAAATTAACATATATAAAATATTTATACCTAGTAAAATTCAGGCTTTAAACATCTGAATGTATACAACTGCCAAAATCATTGATCTGAGGAACAATAGTAACAATGATACAAAAGAGTTTGCTAACTTCATAAATTCGTTGCATTTTCATTCTTTAACGAAATTAACAAACCAAGAAAGCCAAGCTAAGCGATGGGAGGTAAACACGCTAAAGACCAATAAGACCGGATATTGTGTTAATAACACTTCCGGAATGAAATGATAATGAAAAATCCATGAATATCAAATATGAACAGAGCGGGTACACTTCGAAGTTACATTTGATATAAATCGAATAGATTCAGTGGCAGAGGGATAATGAAGTTAACAAATTAAGCGTTTTATTTTTACAGAGACAGAGAGAGAGGAAGAGAAGATTATTATTTAATTTGAGAAAATGCAGTTCTGTGCCTTTAAGTTAAGGCTCTGTAAACTATTTCATTAACTTATCATGAAGGTTGTTAAATTTTCCCCGTTATAGTCAACCGAATTTTTACTTACCTCATAACATTTCACAAATACAACTTGTTATAAAAACTCTTTGCTAATATTGTTGTTTGCAGATTTTCAAAATCTAAATCGAATAGATGGCCGAAAGAACTTAATAAGCTATTTATACTGTTCCTCATACAGTAATCAGATCGTCGGCTAATTATGTCGCTGGCTTTGTGTTATTATCTTTTTTTTTTTAAACAGAAAAATTAATATTTCAATTTCCTGTACGTAATTAATGCTTTTTCACTCCTTAGCAAACATTGAATGAAAAGAGAGAATTATGCGATTTTGTCACGGTGTCTCTGGCCCGAGCTGAACAAGAACGTAGTAAGTATCTTTTAAAAGTCTGCGACACTATGAATAGTGATTTAGTAAGCCTTTTAGAACTGAATTTACGGCACCCGCGGCGGAAAAGTTTTATGAATCGTCGCAACCCCAAAAAGTGAAGATAGGAAACCGAAATTTAGCGCAAACATTTCTTAATCGATCAAAAGCATGAAGTTAAAAAATGACCACATGGAACTTAAACTAACTTAGAAAACATCGCCAACTCTGGCGTACTTTCATCTGTAACTTCTGATCAGATGCAAATATTTTTAAAATCTGTTATTCAAGACCAGAACTACCGCCAATTGTGGGGTGAAAATTTCCCCCAATTGGTGCACGTCTTGGTTAATCGACAGGAATGATTTTCGAGCTGAACGTGAGAGTGGTCCTAATGAACATCCGGATCCGCCATCTATACATTTGCGTTTAAGAAGATCACCATTCATCAAGCACCGTCACGTTCTATCAAACTCGAAGCCTGGGTGTCGTAGCCATTTCAAAATGTCTGTTTAGTTCTCAAAATGTAACAATACAATTATCTAATTAAGTAAAATTTATTTAATTACAAAAAAAACTACTGTAGCAGGATATAAACAACAGGGTTGAGAAGTGAGCGCTCTCCTTTATAACTTAGAAATAGTCTTCGAGACTAACAACTCAATGCCCAGTGGGCCAAGTGGGGTGGAGGCGGTAGACTTAGACAGTAGTTTTAGAATTTATTTCTCAGGCTAAATTAATAATAATAATAACCATATAATAACAAAGTCATAAAAATAATAAAAGTAATAATAATAACAATAACAATAGTAACAAAAATAATAATAAGGAATAATAATAATAAACAATGATAATAATAAAAGTAATTTAAACAAATTAATTATTCATAGATCTTTATTTCTAAAAATTGCCATGATAGGATGTGATTGTGTTTGCTTGGCAGCGTTTTTTGTCACTTTCTATCACATTTGATATCCCGAATGCCAAACCTCAGTAAAACTTCCCAATATCGATTTTGTGCTAAAGCGGGTTTTTCAAATAGTACACCATTATGAAATCAAAGGCGATAATGCCCCTTCAACTCAATGATGTTTAATACGCGATTCGATGCAAGTGTTAAAATGATTGGAATTTTATTATGCGATTTTGAAAATAAATAAAACAAAGCTTTATATTGCGCAGGAAAAGATCGCTAAAATATTTAAGAGTTAAAAATAATATATCAATAATTAACGTTCGATTCGCTTCATTATTCGAACCGCCGCTGACCCTGTTTTTGCAACATTGACATTGTTTTAGCTCATTGTGAGTTTTGCTTCGCAATACCAAATTTATGGGAAACAGACGAAAAGCCTCACAATCAAGCACTACTTTTAGGAGAACTGACAACTCGCACTGACAGAATAGGACTGTTAACCCACAATTAATTTCGAATTTGTTTATAACGAAATTTTAAGATGACTTGTTATCTGTAGTATAGAACGCCTACGGTTATTGTCGCTCTAAATATAATGTTAATTATAATTAAATTATTTCCAAGTTTTAAAGAAGAAAACCTACTTTCAAACTTTCCAATTTGACCCGACATAAAAGAGCTAAAATATAAAAATTATTGCTTTGTGACTCCTTACCCTATGGACGTCCTGAAATCAGTTACAAGGCGTAATGTTAATTCAATATGTTACTTTATTAAAACTTATCGGCCTAATATCGAATTTTATTTTCGAAAATAGAATCGTTGCTGGTATTCAATTTTTTTTTCTAGTCCAAGAATTTGTTTTATTGCTTCGTGAGGAGCTGCGTGCAAATGCTATTAATGACATCTTCCTTCTAAAACAATCAACTGGCCGCATGCTACTATCATCCATCGCTACATTGGGAGAGATAGGTCCGTTTTCTTCCAAAACGTAGATGAGAACACACTCTACAGTTCGTTTCCCAAAATCACTTTTACCTTCACGATTTTCGTTCTCTCTTATGGTTTCCCTTACTGAACTTATTAGAGAAAACCTTAACAACGGAAATATTTGCGTTTTTATCTCTCTTGACCTAACAAAAGCATTTGAGAGAGTTCCGCACACTAAACTTTTAAATAAACTGCGTTATAAAATTAATTTCCCTAGTTCTGGATGTAAACGTGTAAGGGCATCGCAAGCATTCATTTGTGTCAGCAGATTACCTCAGTTCTTCTCTGGTTGATACCGTATCTAGCTTATGACAAGCATCCATTCTGCGTTTGGTCCCTTTTTGTTCAATATGTTCGTGAATAAGTTTTCTGATCTGGTAGGCGACGATTGTGGATTTTTTCCCTAAGCAGAGAAGCTTTTAATCAAACGACCACAGTTTTCTAAGTCAAGTACGAATTCTTTTATATCAATTCCGCGTATGTCTGGTCAAAAGCTTTGGGTGAACATTCGATACTGGAATGCGTTGTCGCTGATTTTGAAATGCTTTTTTGACAGAAAAGTTTTGAACAGAAAATTGGCTTAGTTCTTAAACCCCTGAATTTGTCTGACACTATCGGTTAGCGATAGAGCAAGATGATTATTTGATTAATCTATAGTGCTTTCTCTACACATACTTTATACTAATCTAACTATGCATGCTGGCCTATGGCTTTATACTTACGAATTTCAATAAATAAATAATCGGACCGCATAGAGCAAATATTAAACCTTTTTTTGTGCTTTAGTGGCCTCTTATTATTAGTTCTCCTTGGTTTGCCCCATTTCGGACACGCATTTCATGACAGGTAATCTCCGTACATGTATGGGGATGCATCGAATGACCGAAAAGTATTTTTTAATCTAGGGAAATGAATTGAATGAAGACAACGAAAATATTGACAAAAGTCATACGTAATGCATATGAACTCATACATCAACTTTCGTTTTCCTCCAAGCCAAGCAAAGGTACATTGCATGTATTTTGCAAGAACGCTTAGCAACTATTTTGCATTACAATCCCTTCGTAAAAAATATCGTGAAATTTGGCAACAATTACCGAAGATCTGACCATAATTTTTGACTGAAAGGCGCTTCAATTTAATTTTTATTTTTACATGGTTAACATTCTATGCAAAAGGATTGAGTTAAAGGCCAGAAACTACGACGTCAGACTCGAAAGCAGAAAAGATCAATTAATAATAGCAAAATGCAGATGCCAAGACGCACTACAGAATTTCATGAAGAACCCAAGAGTAGTGCTACGCGACAAAATAGGTAATTTCAGCATTTTTGTATGTAGTACTTAGTAGTGAATGAATCGTTGTAGACAAAGTCGTATAGCGGTCCGAAAGCGGTCGTCGTCATTAGAAACTCACGGACTTAAGGGTAACAATGCGTACTTGAGCGTACCCGTGCAGCAAACTGCTTCCTCTATTCAGAAGACGCCATTAGCCAAGCGTACCCTATTTTCTGCCGAAAAATTCCATAGTGGTGGAGGAAATACTGCCTTACATAATGACAAAAAGTGGATCCAAGAAAAGACGCAACGCATAACTGAATATTTAATCAGTATCGATAATATTGGCGGAATGAAAACTGATTTTCTACTCAAAGGTTTACGGCAAATATCTACAAAGCAATTTGTCGCGATAGTTGGCTACTTTCTTGGCCGCATTTGTGGGAACCGATTCACAATGGGCCAAAACTATGTTGAAGATATTATAAACATTTTGCATGAACTGAATTATCCGCACACAATTAACAAATCATGGCTTAAGACGCCAAACACACAGCATTCATTCGGTAATGTTGTAGTTTTACTTGATTTTCTTATGGATTTTATATCATCGGATATGGATTGTTCTCAACAGTTATTCGATCTGGAAAAGCCACAAGAAGGAGACTGCTTAATAACCGAGTGCTTACAGATATCTGATTTGGAATTTCAGAAAGAATTGCTATGTCATTCCGAAGAAGGTTTTAAGTTTTGGGATAAGTTAATGGAGAATGATTTTAAGAGATTACAACGACAAACGTGCAATTTACTTATCCAGAAAGTGTGCGGCGTCAAAGACGTGAACACTATCGGCAGCGAACACCGTAAATTGTCTAAGGAACTACTAGATTTGCAAAAGCAGGCACCGATAGCAAATGAAGGAATGGTAGACGCTAAAATAAAACTAAGCGATGAAGGCGAAACATTACAGTCCAATCTAAAATCTACGATCGAAGAGAACGATATGTATAATTGGAAATTTGAAAAATTACAGATTAAAAAAACAAAACTATTAGCGGGCATAGAGCAGCACGAACAAGATAAGGCTGCGTTACAAGAGCAAATTAAAAAACAACAGGGTACAGTTGAAGAACGCAACGAACTTCTAACGCAAGTCGAGCAGCTTAAGCAAGACGCAGATATTGTTGAGCGTACCGTGTATGATCTTAATGCTCGCGATCATAATCAACAGGTGTTTTTTTCTAGAGCCCTAAAGCGAATCAAAGAGCAAGTTGAGTCATTTAATTCTCATATGCGCGACATTGCCTTTTCTGATGCGCTAAAATTAAAAACTGATATAATCAAATATCTCCAGTTACCATTACGCTTCAACGCACAACACATCAAAAACGTATTTTCTTGTCTCAATCAAATCGAACGTCAAACAGCGGATGTTATAGAACAAAAAACCAATACCATACAACAATTGCAACATCATATTAAATGTTTAATCAGCGTACATGCCGAAAATGAAAGTAAACTAATCATATTACGTGAATCTCATGCTAGCAGCCAAAATAATCTACGTGACTTAAATGAGGAAATTCAGAAAGAAGATTTGCGTTTTAAATTGGAGTTTCAGCAATTGCTAGATAAATCATCGAGCCTACACAAACAAATAGAAGAGACTGATGCGCGGGTGAAATCTGACGAGATTCTACTTCAAAGCTTGGAAGCCAAAAATGAAGAGACCATGAGCACAGCGGAACGCAACCACCAACAACGTATATCGCAAAAGAGGAACTTCCTCGAGTTTTACAATACTTTGTTAGAAGAAAAATTTCAAGAAGTAAAACAATTTCGCGAGCAATTGCAGGAATTTGAGTCGGAAAAAAATTAAAGCAAAAATAGGCGCACACTCACTCCCCCTCCATCGTACATAAATTAATAAAATTCATTTTTAAAATCAAACTGCACGGTTTCATTAATGCGAGTTACGTTCTTCCGATTTTAAGCGTATATCCCTCCCTAAATTCACTCCTGTGTTATGCAATGGGCTATAATATCTCATTGACAACACGAACTCTCTCCACTGTTTTGACGATTAACGAAGATGTCGAAGTGGAAATGAATTTTATCGCTTAGGGTGATTTTGCTCGGAAAATCAGCATCCACTTGTTGATGTTCACTATGCATAGCATATTTCGTTAGTCTGAATAAATATTCTATAACACAGTTCCCTTCGGCAAAGAAGAATATTTGTCTTTTCGTTTATAATATATAGAAATGTATGCATGTATATATGTATGTCTGCGAATTTTTAATATGTACAATTTGAATTTGATATTTAGCTGATAATAATAATAAAATCTGATGGAAAATTTATTTAATTATAAAGTAAACCAATGATTTATATTGCTCACATGTTTACACATTTATATTTTCAATCCATTGCGACCATAAAAATATTTTGCAACCATCTCGTTATCACTTTAATATGAGGCATTTTTGCCTTTGATGGCATCATTTGCTTCTGGCTTAGCTAAAGCCATTTAGTGAGTCAAATTTCTTAAAATAAAATGTGCTCTTAAATAATTACATATATTATTTTCCAATTTAGCTTGGAAATGCTAGGTAAAAATGCTTCTCCCCATATACGGGCAATTCTTTGCCTTGTGCCTTCCTTCTGAACATAACATGTTCAATTTCATCATAGTCTAGTAACATAACTAAGATAGATCATGAAGAGTTGCAGGATTGATTGCATCCAAATCAAAACAGCGACAGGAACAAGATGAAACCGGGCATTCCGAATTTTGTCTAAACCATTGCATTAAATGTTCCGTGTGTCCGCCGTGACGGCACGTTTGACACCATGAAAACCACCTTGAAAACGGTTTCGATTGCCAACCTAAACTTTCGTGACCATCCTCGCCAGCAGGAAAAGTGTTTAAGGTTGTGCCCATATGCAAAAGACATAGTGAACAACGTGGCAGTGGTTTACGGCAACTTGGGCACGAAGATAACTTAGGGAAGGAAACAGAATATTGGTAAACATTTATTAGTACTACAGGCTATGTTGTTGCTCATTGATACCTTGTTGACATTTGAAGATGCCGTACGCAAGCGATCGTCTTGCGATGCGTTTGATACGGATTTACTACAAAAATTACATGACAAATAAACGGTACGTGCCGGTCGATTGCTCGAGCGTAAGTTGGCAATTTTTATTTCTAATTCCGCGCGTTTTTCCCAAAAACCCCATGAATTTAAGCAGTCCATGTAACTGAAGAGTACATTTTTTAGCATATTATTAAATTAAAACAAAAAAAGAAACAAGAGCAAACCTCGTTATCCAAAACTGTATACGCTGATCGTTATAAAGGTCACGATGAAAGTAATTAATAGCGATAAGAGCAACAGTTTGCATGTCGAATGTTGAGTCCATATACGCTTGCAAAATATTGATTCCATCGTGCGACTCACCAGTAAGCAATAGACCATTCAAATCGCCTTTTTCGATAGACTTTTGTATTTGCAATTTAACATAATCCGACAATTTATTCTCCGATAAATATTTGCAAGCAAAAGCCACCCGATCGGCTAACGATATGCCTTCTTCCATCTACGATACAGCGAAGGTAATAAAACAAAAAAACCAAAAATAACGATATTGATTAAGAGGTAAGGTACCAGAACTGAGTCATAATTTTCATTTTCCGTTGTAAGAAATGAGAAAATTGTTCTCAAGTGAGCATCTTGAATTTGCATATTCGCCATCGAACGCTGATTACGCCATATAGCAACGCTACGATCAGCATTGAAACTAGATAAGGCAATAGCGGCAATACGAAACATACTTGGATCTCTAGATTGATCCACCGCTTTAGAGAGGATGTCACAAGCTCCCAAAATTTTCAAATGGAATACATAAATCATCGCAGCTCGGCTGTATTCCTGCAAAATAAAATAAAAAAAATAAAATAATAATATAAGAAAATTATACATTAGTCGATTTTACTTTATTTTCACATAAGGTGCTAATGAAACGCTCCAAATCTTGTTCAAATGCCCAACCACATAACTTTAAGGCTTTGTCGCGTTGTTCACTTCTAGAGATTTAGCTTATTGTGAGTAAACTTTAAAAACTTGCTATTCGATATATACATACCTGTAACATATTAAACTATTCGAATTATTTATGAAATCTGGCCATTGGAGGACATGCGATTCAATACGAGAAGTGTTCATAAACGCTTCGGATGTATGGCTAATGCCAATACCCAAAATGGTCTTCAATCCAGTAAGTTTTTCCTCCATGCGATACAAATTAGCTAAACTGAACCAAACATTCTTCAGATATGCACTTAAACGCTTGGCGTCTGTTTTTAAACCATAATCGCTCAACGCTCGTTCACGAGTTTCCTTTACTAAATCCTCTTTTAATAGATTGCTGTCAATTATATGTGAGTTTATAGTTGTGCCTATTGTAGCAAAGTCTCCACTACCATTCGCTGGCGTATTCTGAGAAGCATTCGAAAGAGGTCGTTGCAAAAGCAACGGTAATTTTTTATGATTAGTAGATGCGGTTAGTATGCTTATAGGCAAACGGAAGTCCATAACGTTGCCAGTTTCTGACAGTAGGAGTGCGCGTTCAAAGTCTGTATTATGCCATGAAAGTGCAGTCAATGTATAACCTTTATGAGATCCATGATATTTGGTGTGAAATGGCAGTAATTGTTTTTTAACGCTATAAACTTCCCGACTATTCTCCACATCCACACAACGTATATCATATAATGTAATATAAGGCGATTCTCGCTGCAATGATGTCAGTAAGCTAGATCTTGTGGGACACCAACTCAACTGTAAATGGTTTTTCGCCGATTGGATTTGTTTAAGCGGTCTATCAATAGCACGCAAATCCCATAACATTATTATTGAATCGAAGAAGCTACACAAGTAACCATTTGGTGCCACCGCTAAACCGTACACAGTCTTAGTTTGTATTGACTGACAAGTGGCAGTGTTTTCTAAAAGCGAGCAACAAATAATTGATGGGGCGGTACGAGGAGAAATATCAAATGACTTACGTCTTAAATCAAAAAGTTTAATTTGTTTCTGATTCATGCCCGCTATCAATACCCGATGGTTTTTATCCCAGCATAAGGAATGGGCCGACTCAGAAACACCAAAAAAGTTTGGACCTAAAGATTTAGTACATTGGCATAGTTTCAACAAAACGTTTGTTAAAAAAAAATTTAATCTCACCACTCTCTTTAGGTAAACCATGCTCTATGTCCCAAATTGTAATGCACGAATCGGACCGATACCGATCGTGTCCGATTGCTAGAACATTTGTATCCAATTCATTCCAAGCTAAACTTAAGCACATTCGTTGTTGGCGTGGAGCTAAAAAAAACAGAGAACAACAATCGAAAGTAGAGAGGCTGGCAAGCTTATAATAACATGTTTTCACCAAAACTTACTGTACTCCCAACTATTATCTACTACATCATGAAAATCACACACTCCAACCTTGCCGTCACCTAAACCGACAGCTATAATCGGTCGATGCTTGTGATATGAGGGCTGGACAACTCGGGCGTATTGATAACGATTTTCAGTAGCCAAGAAATTCGCTGAGATATTCGGCAAGCGATCTGAACGGAAATAATGCCATCCATTACAAACATTAATGTTTTCGAATCGAATTTCTCTCAATATAAACAAATTAAATTGAACTCAATAATGGAAAATGAAAACTTACATTTCACTGGCTCTGCCTGTCTGTCCGTTTTGTTACGTACTTCGTATAGAGTAATTTCTTGACCCCATAAAACAAATTTATCGGCCAAATTTGGAAACCAAAACAGTCCATGTATATTGGCGCTCATTCTTGCAGTAGTTGAATATCAAATAAAAACATTAACAGTTAATGTAAATATGGAACTTAATGTTTATTTTTGACGATATAAATAAGAAGTTCTCAAAGATTTTACTTTCCCACAACTCAAAAAACTGACTAGATCACTGTTATCGCGCAAATATTTAATAATGTATATAAATGCATCCTTTCTTACTACACTTTTCTACATACTACTACTACTTTGCCGAACAGGGTATATAATTTTTAATTTTTTGTAAATCAAAAGTCTACAGACAAGAGATGTGAAAATAACGAACGAAGAAAAACTACAAAACAAAAAGGAATGAATTCGCTTATGTGGCTACCGTCACGCACTAAGCAAAATCATCGTACTCTCCATACTCTCCATACTGGAAATATATCCAGAATATTGATTAGCCAAATAGATTACTGATTAGACAAAAAAGGAATAGGCAGAACACAGAGCGCAAATAATGATCAAAAAGGTCAAAGTTAAAATAAAAGGAAGATCCTGCAGTTTTAACAAAAGATGTCAACTGCTTGAGATGAGCAACTGTTTATTTATTTGTAGTTTCAAAATCAGCGTTATTTTATAAACAAACAAGACGAACGACCTGAAACTTTTATCAAATGTTAAAGAAGAAGAAGGAAAAACAATATACATATATGTTATGTGTAAAAGGTTATTAAATAATTGAATAGAGCAAAATCGAAAATTACAACCTCTTTCAAAGATTGTTTTAAATGCCGAAAAAGTATTAAGTACTATTTTTGTACAACTTTGCATATTGGTTCATACCTCTACTAACTATACCCCGTGTCGAAGCCAAGACAATATATTAACACAACATTTTAATAATTTTCTTGTTAATTTTCTTATTGGCATTTTTTCAAGTTTAATACAGAGAGAGACAAATGAATTATTTTTTAAATCAAAAAGAACGTTACATCGAAAATGTGAAACATATTAAATTTATTTAGTTGTTATAAAATGGAAAAGCGCAAGTATAACATGGGAAAAGCCAGCAACTACTAGAAAGATTTGCCGACGGCTTTTGTTAAGTTGGTCCGTTAGATAAATTTAAGTTGTTAAGTTGGGCTTTTATTATAAGCGACTCCGTGCTTTGCCTTTCAACAGGGAATTTAGCGACGGTTTTGTTTAATTTGATAATAAAAATGATGACGGCCTACTTTTAGGCTAACTTATAAAATAATAAATTCTTTTCTCTTAAAGCGCTAGCATCAAAAAAAACTCTACTGCACTTGAGATAAAAAATAAATTATACTTTGAAAAACCAAACTAATTTGCGTAAAAAACACATTAAGTGTTCACTCTATACAATTCGGTAAATTCCACCCATGTATCCATATAATCGTCATAATCTAACTGAAATGTGGAAAATATAAATTCAGATAGGTCTCAATGTGTTCTTTTTTTCTTAAATACGCTACAAATTCTTTGCACTTAATTGAATAGTTATAGATAACCATAAAAGCTATAATTTTTATATTTTCTTTCTATATTTTAACACTTGTCAAAATTTTTCCAATATAATAAACTTTCACGTGCGATTGTCAAATGTCCCTGGCTAAAAAAAAGTAAGCACAGATTTGCTGTTGGCAACGCCATGTAAGAAATCCTGTTAAATCGTAAGAAATTCTGTCATGGGTATGTACGTATGTGTCTGTATACAGCCTTTTTTAACATGACGTAACGAGTCGTCTGTTGTTGACTAGCGGAAAACCTTTCAAGAAGGTGAAGGCAAGGTATTGAAGTAAGTTAAAGAAAAGAAAAAATTGTGGGTCGTTTTTATTGTTGTTAAAAAATAGAAAGATATTTTATGAAAACCTTTTTTTTTGATTTGAGAACATGCGAAAGGGATTTTCGTAATTTTCCAAGAAAATATATTCGCATAATGTTCATAAAGCAATTTTTGCAAAAATGTCTCATAAAGAAAAGTTTAACATCTCTGGCTTTATTACCGAAGCAGCCACTTTTTATTATGGTTACTTATTTTATAAGCACGTGTTTTAGAATGTATTGAAACACTTTTGGCTAAAGATGTCTACCACTTCGGAGGATGAAGAAAATATTGTAAGCGATAAAAAAGAAAGTAATAAAGAAGAATATCTTAAAGATGGGTCGGAAAATCAAGATCAAGAAAATTTTGAAACTGACGATGACGAATGCGACCAGGAACAGATTAATAAATCATTAACTTGGAAAGATTTGGTATGTACTACTTACGATCGTTGTAAATTGCATTGTGGTAATAAGTGAAATTGTACCATCTTAGGGCTTAAATGAAACATTATGTAAAGCTTGCGAAGAATTGAAATGGGAAACACCTTCAAGAATTCAGAAGGAGTCCATACCGTTGGCGTTACAAGGCAAAGATATAATTGGTTTAGCTGAAACGGGTTCTGGAAAAACCGGAGCATTCGCTTTGCCGATCTTAGAAGCTTTGCTGGATAATCCCCAGAGATTTTTTGCCTTAATATTAACACCCACAAGAGAACTGGCATTTCAAATCTCGGAGCAATTTGAGGCTTTAGGTAAGTAGTTAACTAAACATATACAATCTCCCAAATGGTGCAACTCTCTCAAATGTATTTTTTTCCTGACTATGATGTGAAATTTAAACTCGAAATAATTATGAAGATATGCTTTCATTACAATTCGTCACTACCTCTGAGCTTGACCTATCTTGCATAGCTGTAAAATCTTTTCTGAGACGTAAGAGAAATAATGCCTATCTATTAAAACATTTCAGGTAGTGGTATAGGTGTTAAATGCTGTGTTATTGTGGGCGGCATGGATATGGTGTCACAATCCTTGCAGTTGGGAAAAAAGCCGCATATAATTATAGCTACCCCTGGCCGTCTCGTAGATCATTTGGAAAACCTGAAAGGTTTCAACCTGAAGGCAATTAAATACTTGGTTATGGACGAAGCCGATCGTATTTTGAACATGGACTTTGAAGTGGAATTAGATAAGATCCTGAAAGTTCTACCTAAAGAACGGCGTACTTTTCTTTTTAGTGCAACCATGACGAAGAAAGTGAAAAAGTTGCAAAGAGCCTCTTTAAAAGATCCTGTCAAAATTGAAGTTTCAAATAAATATCAGACCGTCGAACAACTCCTACAATATTACATATTCATACCAGTTAAATATAAGGACGTTTACTTGGTGCATATACTGAACGAGTTAGCTGGTAATAGTTTTATGATATTCTGCAGTACTTGTAATAACACAGTGAGAACGGCTCTAATGCTTAGGGCCTTAGGTATGGCGGCAATACCTTTACATGGTCAAATGTCTCAAAATAAACGCTTGGCTGCACTTAACAAGTTTAAATCCAAAAATCGTTCTATACTTATATCCACCGATGTGGCTTCAAGAGGCCTAGACATACCCCATGTGGATGTAGTACTAAATTTTGATATACCCACACACAGTAAAGATTATATACATAGAGTTGGTCGTACCGCGCGTGCTGGGCGAGCAGGCAAAGCAATTACTTTTGTAACGCAATATGATGTTGAACTCTATCAACGAATTGAACATTTGCTTGGTAAACAACTGCCTCTGTATAAATGCGAGGAAGATGAAGTGATGGCTTTACAAGAACGTGTCAACGAGGCACAACGTACGGCTAAATTGGAACTTAAAGATATTGAGGAATCTAAGGGTAAACGTTTTAAAAAGGGCGGTGCTGCCGATGCTGATGATTCGGAACAATTCATTGGAGCACGAAAACGTTTAAAAGTGGGTGGAAATGTTAAAAAGAATTGGAAAAGGGCTAAGAAAAAATAATTTTTAAATGGCTATTAAAAGAAAATTTAGAATATGGATAGAGCTTTTATCATTCAATTAATGTAAATAAATAAGATTCAAACTATTATTTTAAAAGTTAACAAATTGTTCTATTCTACTAGAATTAAAAATAACTGATTTTTTTTGCAAGAAAGTATAATATGGGACGACTTTAGAATTGATGAAAACATTCTCATAGAATTTCTAAATACCCGACTAGATGAATACAGAAAGATTAACCTTTCCTGCTTCGCAACCTAGTAATTTACACATATATATTATGACTGATGTATTGATAAGAATTTTTAAGACGCCTAAGTTTATTCGATAATTCCTTTGTATGAGAAATTTCAAACTCCACACCCTTCCCAGTTTCCTCAAAGCGATAATTTGATTTTTTTCTCGTTTTACAAGTCCATAATCCCAGTTGTCAATTTCAGTGTAGTGCATTGAATATAGGGAGGCCCGTCCCGTTACTCCAGAAAAATTGTTGCGCGCTTCGTTATATAAAACTAGTGACGCATGGTGCAAACTATCAAGGCTACGTAGGACTTGCAACGCAATCATCGTTGCGAACCTATCATTATTTTTAGATCGAGCTTTGATCAGAAGAGGGCTCGAATTGGTGACATAACTCCAGCAACACATTATTATGTTTCACACTATCTTACTCTTTGAAAGGTGATTTAAACTCTAAACGACGTTATATCTGCTTTCTGACCAAAAATAACGAATCCTATTGCAATTGAAAATTACAGATTGTCTGAACCTCCAAGCTTTTCGGAAAGTTCGCATTTTGTAATAGAGAGACCACACAGTTGGCAGCAAAAATACATTGCTATTAATAACTTCCAGCGGTTGATTTAGTTTCAGTCTACTGACGTTTGAATTCAATCATTTATGTCGTAACAAACAGATCAGTAGGCTATTGCTAAAATAATGAGGACATTCGTTAAATTTCCTACATTTGAATCACTTAGGTGTGAATGGAAATGAAGTTGGGAAACATCTACAGCTGTGATATGTAGTCCCAAACTTGTGCCAGTTTCCCCACTTCTTCTCAATTGTCACCATATTACACGAATAGGGGACATCTCCTAAGTGCGCATTCGTGACCTTCCCCATGAACTGAAAGCATCAGGATTGATTAATAATAATGCGGTGTAAGAAAAAGAGATCGGGAGAATAGATCATACTTAGCTGCGGAAAATATCAATTTGGGATATTAATGTTTTAAATAAAGCGAAGCCCTTCTTGAAATTGTTTTCTTTGATTACAAAGTCCGCAATATTAACGTTTATCTATACATACAGCGCAACGCTGATCATTTACTTCATTTCTCCAAAGCTTTAATCTAATTTAAATGAATAGGCAAGTATCTGTTCTTATTGTAAAAAATGATTACCCCTACAAGAAAAAAATAGAATAATTTCACGATTTTTAAAAATAACTTACAAAAAGGGACGTTTAATAATAAAATAAAAAAAAAATGAAAGTTTATATCTTTTACTCAATAATAATGTCTTTTTAAAAAAAACATAAACGTTAGCTAAATAAAATATTAAAAGAGAAAGGATGCGAATTTTTCTAAAAATTAAATCAACTAAAAATGAATATATCTATAAAATATACACTATCAGGCCATAAAGGGAAATTAACTATGATGCTGATTAATCGTAACATTTGAACTAGCGCGAAGACAATGAACTTACTTAAATATACAGAGTTTCTTTACCAAATTTCAAAATATAGTCTACCCAATAAGACCTTAATATTTTATCAAACGATCACTCATCACACAATTACTCAATTATTAATTAATGATTTCGTCAATACTAAGAATCGGTTGACAAGTCATATAGTTCGCAAATACCCTCGTCGGCGCTCAATACGAAATTATAATCTAATTGCGGCGGATCTAGAGGCAACAAAGGAGGATTTTCTGAAATGTAGACCACATTACTGTATGCACATACATATGGAGCAGTTTATGAAATAGCATTACATACCAATATTTAAGCAATCGGGGAAAAATCTTCGAAGCGAATGACCGACTTTACTGCTTTGCAAGACAATGCGAGCCGTTAATTTATTTTCTAACGCCTCCATTTCTTCTTTCATTTCAGGATTACAAAAGTACGTGTGTTCCTCATTGACTAGGTTCGCTTTGGTGGTAGTTTGCTGCAATGTGGTCAAAGCCGTCGAATGCGTAGATGAAGAAGTGGATAAAGTAGGTGAGGGGGTTTCTAGACGTGAATAGTTTCGGGCAGTTTCCGTTTCCGGTAGTGTTGTGCAACAACGTCCTTGATCTGTAACCAATCGTACATCGACTGTACTGCCGTTATCCAAAGAAATACATAGAGACCTCTGAAAATAAGTTTGATATAAACAAAAAGATTTAATTTTTTAAACCCAAAACATTACCCTTGTTCTACCAATCCGTACATCCTCATCATGGCTGGGAATCGTAAAGACTACATCTTCACCAAACACCGAAAGCAGATCATCCCGCGTTACATACCCGTACGACCTACAAATGCTATCCTCTTTGACATAACCCAAATTACGGCGGGCATAATCCAACTGCATATCAATGTCGGCTTCCAAAGTCTTCAAACATTTATTACGAGTTTTTATAGCTTTTAAAATAGAATCCTCGTCATGACCATCAATGTTACCGCTGAACAAAAAGAGCATAAAAAAATGTTAACATATACATTTCACAGTAATTGGAGAGCTCAGAGAAGAAATATTTACCGCCACCGCACCACACTACTGCAACGGGATTTCTCAATCAACCCAACTCCTTCGAGTACATTTGTTATGTCGTATATTCTACGTTTTTGCACATCCAAAATATCAGCCGCCTGTAAAATGTGAATTTGGTGAGATTACTTGGCGCGTTGAGAAACAACTTGAATTTGTAATCTTAATTTCAGCTTAACCATGACAACAACGAAAACAAAATCGGCAATCAAGTCTTAGCGTAACGTTAATAATAGTTATATATTTAGAAAGTAAAATTGATCTGCTTTGACCTCGCGCTATGTACTTACGTCTTTAAGATCAATTCTTCCACCATTACTTTTCATAAGCTGCACAAATTTTTGCGTTAGCAGTACCAATGAGCCAACCACACGATTTGGAGTTTGTGGTGTTAAATGTGCAGTGGGTTGGGTGGGCGCTTCATGAATATTGTTTGCTCCACTTGATTTTTTCGGCGTGTTTTCTGGTGTTTCCATTTTATTTAAATTAGCGCAAATGTAACCACAATATATTAAACAAATAAATTCTTAATGTTTGTGACTTGAAAAACCGTATTGTCAGAGAAATTAATAAAACTTTATAAATTATTAAATTCTAAAATTTGGCGCTTGGCGATTTTTTTGACCCGCCGCCATTTGGATACTTTTTTACTCATTTCACTATTCGTTTACATATTCTTTAAACTTGTGAAAATAACAAAAACCATTAATTCCATTTCCACATGTTTCCAATTTGTAAGAGATAGATATTTTTTGACAATTTGAATAATATAGGCAGAGGAAAACGTTTTCTGCCGACTGCAGACAAAAACAAGATCTGTTTGTAATTTCGACATTAAATTGTTTTTTAGTCTAATCTTTGCAGATCGATACGCAGAGTCAAAATAGTCTCACTGCAGTTGATAACCTACATTCTAAATTTAACCTTCTTCACTAATATTGTACATCGATCCACACTTTTAAATTTGCACTTATGTTTTAGACGACCAGCAATTATTAAAATTCCATGTAAAGTGGCGCTGAGGTTTAGAAAATTTCATCGAAGGCCAACAAAAATTTTATTGGCAAAAAAAACATTGCTCTTTTATTTTTTGTTCAATTTTTTCTTAAAAGCACTTATAACGTGCGTGATGATATATTTTTACGAAAATCTTCTTAATTAGAGATATACTTCTGCAAATCAAATAGCGCGCAACGTTGTTCCTAGGCGTTTCTCCTTAAAGAGTGAGCAACTGAGCGCTGTAAAAAATTAGAAAAGAACGAGAAAACTGAAAGTTTTACTTTCGAATTTAGACATACAATTTCTGATCAGGACGAAAAAAGATCTGCTCATTTTTCTTCCTAGCATGCGATTGCTAAAAAATCGGTGAAATATCTCGAAATTGATATACTGATATCAGTTTAAAGTAAAGTTGAATATGTCAAATGTCATTTGACAACTCTGGGTTGTTATAATTATAGAATTTTGAAAGCTTGTCACGTTCTTCCACATTAAACACGCAAAATTTGTATCATTAATGCTTAAAGCCAAATAAATAGCTTGAATAGTTTGTAGCTTGGTCAATCTCTACCTAACAATCCAAAAAAAAAAAGAATAGTTTGTAGTTGAAAAAGTAAAAAATAACTTAAAAAAATGTCAAACCAGAGCACAAGTAAGCCAAAGCTCTCTAAGGGCATTTTGGACATGAAGTTTATGCAACGGACCAAAGCGAAGGTGGATAAAGAAATTGAAGTTGCCGAGGGACGAGCTATGTACTCCAGTGAATTGACCAGCAGAATGTTAAATACCAATTCAAATTTTATAATTGAGCCGAGTTACGTATCTTGCGAGAACCTCATTGAAGGCCGCTTAAGTTTTCGAGGGATGAATCCCGAGATTGAAAGAGAAATGGAATTGGAAAAGTCCGAGAAAGAAGCAACCACTAAACGGCCCGAGCAAGAAGCAGAAGTCAGCACGAACGACATGATCGAATTCTACGCTGCGGCCAGTCATACAATACAGAGAAAATTCCAGAAACATAAAAAAGTAACCAATAACAAACGATCTAATAGTGATAATACAATGAATAAAAAAAATAAAAAATTTAAAAAACCTGAAAGTGACGATATTGGAGATGAAATTTTGGCCAAGTAATTAAATATAGTTGTAAGTTAGTACTTAGTTTATACATAATAAAATCCAGTATATGTGTAGACGACTGCGGAAGCAGAGCGCTAACACTTGCACTCTACCAATTCTTTCGAATTCAAAGCTTTAACTTTTTTAACATGAAATTACACCGGTTAGACTGCTCATATACAAAACAAGGTTTGAATTTCACCTTTAATAAACAGAAATATTTAGTTTGAATGTTAAAATGATCCCGTTTTTATTGCCTGTAAAGCATAACACATACTAGTGGAATTAATCCAACGCCAGCTATTCCGCCAGAATTCGTAGATACTTCCGTTTACCAGAATGGTTTGACAACCCACTGCGTAATAAAATTCAAATTTAATATTAAAATGAATGGGTACTCATAACATACTCGTATCTAAAATCCTCTGCACATTTAGTGGAGAAATCAGTTGTTCCCATCGATGAGTGCCCTTTGGAGCTGCATTTATCACATATTCACCAACCAAGACGCCTCCCAACCACATTGGAATAGTTTGGTTAAGAGTGGTAATGAAAACGGAACCGCCAGGCTGATTAAAAATCATAAATACATTACCTAAGCATAATTCTACTAAAATCTCGCAACCTTTACGCTATGCACGCAAGCTGTCAAGAAAGCCACTTTATCATCAATATGTTCCAACACCTCTGAAATCACCACCGCATCATAAAAGTTGCACTTATCTTTCACATGGATTTCGATCGGCTCGATCTTATAAGTTATGTTTTCGAGCAGACGAGCGTTTGCCTGTTTCTTTAAATGCTCACGGGCCACATTTATTAATGCATCGCTTAAGTCGATGCCTGTTACCTTAGCATCCAAACGAGCCAAGTGTTCAGTTAGTATACCCCCTCCACAACCTACTTCAAGTATTTGTTGATTTTCCAACACATGTGTAGTGCTCACCGCTTTAGCATCGATGGAACCCCTCGCTACTAGACCGTCTCGAATAAATGGTACCCTTTAAGTATTTACAGATGATAAGTCTCACATACCAAATAAAATGTTAAATAAGAAAATAACCTTATAGAATTTAAGCTATGTAAGGCTTGTAGAGGTCCATTAACATTCCACCACTCATCGGCTAAATTACTGTGATGTTGTACCTCCCTTTTTGCAACATCTGACATTGCCTGCGGTAAATCTGAAGCAGAAGCAGTCTCACGAATATTATCGATTGTCGCATTATAAAAGCGAACTCGATATCTTCCGTAGTTTAAAGGTAACTTCCTAATATTCATATCAAATTATTAATAATTCAATAAAATTTTGAAATTATTGCCACAATACCTTTGTTTTTGTAAAATGCTTCTTAATGAGTTCAAGTTGTACGTACACATCCCGTGCATCCTGAATTAGTTTTGGATACTTTTATTTGTTTGTTTTTTATGTTTGGATTGTCAAACATAAATACGCAATGTAGAACAACGACTCAAATTAACAAATCCCTCCATTTGGCGTAAACCGGTGTGTTCTAATCCCGATGTTTCATGTTGAATGTTGAAAAGTCTCTTTATTGATTTTCAAAAAGTGCAAGTAATTATACTTGACGTATCGATACGAATTTTTAAGAAGCCAAAGTTGAAATGTTATTTCTTTGTAAATTCTTAAAGTAAAAAATAGAGGGTAATAAATTGTTTTATACGAAAATAAAATTTTTGAAGAGGTAAATTGCAATTGGCAATTTTTGATTAACTGGGTTATGGGCGATATGTGAAAGTCTGCTCTAATTATTGCGTTCCTATTTCTGTTGTAATTCTTCGTTTAACAGATTTGTGGATCTAATTTCTGTTGCAATCTCTCATTTAACAGATTTGCGGTTTTCTTTTCAACCACGTTAACAGAATCAAAACATTGCAATTTTTTAAAAGCAACTCTGCGCTCTCTCCAAATTCAACATATGGTATTTGTTTTAATAAACCATGCAAAGGGAAACCCCAGCTTTTAGCGAAAAACCAAAGCCATACTACAAGCGCACAAAGGAGATGCACGAAGTGAATAATTGCGAATAAAAAATGTTTTTTAAAAAATAAAAAAGATACAATGAGGAGAAAAAGTTTGTGAAACATTTACATAAAAATAAACTAAAAAAAAAACTCAAAAAGTTATAAAATTAAAAAAAAAATATGAAGTTTATTTATTTATTTATTTGTTCTACTTATAAATGAAACTTTAACCAAAACAAATTGAGAGTCGATTTCAATTGACTCTTAAAGCAAATCTTAAATTAATTAATATTAAAACTTAGTACAAGTGTAATAAAACAAATAAGAAGGAAAGAAAACATGTGCACAACTAGCATAGAGCCACACCCACAACTGGTACAGGACCAAATCGCAAATGAACACCTAAGCCATCGCAAACCTGCATAAGCTTGGCAACCGATAATAGTCAACAATAATTAATTTTCGTATCATAACGACCTTTTAAGGTTAAGAGCTAGCTTAAGTACGACATAGGTAAATCACGCGCTTTAAGTAATGTTGTTTTAATGGACTTTAAAGAGCGCGATAAAGAGGATAAGTGATAGACGTTATTTAGGTTTTTGCAAACAACTCTGAGCGGGTTAAACGGCTCATAATTATATTTACATTGACTAAGCTTAACCAAGAGAAAGTGCCTGGAGAAGCGGTTAGGGACATTAAAGCTTATCTCACCAAGTAATGCAGGCGAGTCAATAGCACCATTACTTTGATTACGTAGGAAGCGACAACAGAAACAACTTATTTTCATAGGGGGAAGAGAGGCAATTGGCTCCCAACACAAATTCCTAAGGGCAAACAGCAAGAATTGCTTTTGAACAGATTCAATTGAATCTACATAGCATCTATATGAAGGAGGAGGCATACTCGAGTATAGGTCTAACCAAACACATGTACAGCTTTTTGGTAATGTAAGGATCATCAAGCTCTTTGGACCACCTCTTTATAAAACCAAGTGCGGACCTAGATTTGTTTAACGAGAGCTCAATGTGCGAGTTAAAACGTAATCTATGGTCAAATAGAACCCCTAATTCTGTGAATGTATCGACGTCCTCCAATGTATGCGAATCCATGAAATACTGAGTAATGAATGACTTTCTTCTTGACAAAGAAAGCTTCTTGCATTTATTTAGGTTCAGTTTCAGAAGATTCATCGAGCACCATGCAACCCAATTATTCAAGGTTGATGTGGTTGCGATTCTATAGAGAAGGAAGAAAACAGTTTCACATCATCAGCATACGTGAAGATCTGACTGAAATTAATGACCGATCGAATATCATTAATGTATAAACGAAATAAAATGGGACCTAAGCGGTTTAAACAGTTTAAAAAAACAGTGTGTTAAAATATATAGCATTTAATGAATTAAATAAGTGTAAGGAATTTGATAGTAAAAATTTAATAAGTTAAACAAAGATAAGTGTAAGAAATTTGAAAATAAAATTTTATGGAATACATATACAAAAGAGTAACTTCAAGCATTGTAAGAAATTGACGGTAAGTGCATTTATTTCGTTTATTTACAATTTTATATATTTCATGTATTGACAGGGGCACCCGCCTGAGATTCACGTAGTTTCCCTAATAATCTCATTGGTGTCTCTAGTTGCTAGCAATTTCTTTAAACCAAATTATTTCGAAACAACATTTAAAACTCCGCAAATTTGGTTATCCCAAACACAAGAATACAAGAAGAAATGAATAAACGAATGAGTGAATGAAAGCATGTATGTTAAATTAAACTCTACTCCTTACGTTGCAGTTGCAGTTGTGGACAAACTCTCACTATAAAGCACATTCTCTGCGATTGCCATAACTTTTGCTTGGCTAGAAGTATTGCATTTGGAACGATTAACCCTTTGGACATTCTAAAATCAGCTTCAGAATCGAATATCAATTCTATATATTACTTTATTAATACTACTAAGCTCATTATCTAATGTACATTTATTTAAATTAGCGCCGATAGCCTGTGTTGCTAGTGCTCAATGTCTTTTTTTTTTTTTAGTCTAAGAATTTATTTCATTAGTCTAAAATTATAATAATAATAATAATAATAATATTCTGTACATTCCCTACATGAAAATATATTATACGCCTAAAATGCGTTAATGGTAAAATAGATATAGTGAACGCCACCCGACTTGATGGACTAATTTTTTCGTAATAATATCAGCGACAGGTCTTCTCCCTCAATTCCTAATGAATTATACTTTTTGATCATATACTTGTCGATTTCCGATTACAAAACGCTTTAGTTGCTATTGACATATTCCACATATTTTCAGTCCATATATATGTATTTGTGTGGGCGTTGAAATGTTATTATCGTAATCAGCAATATTGATGTTCGTAAATACGTTCGCATGGTTTAAGTCGGCAAATATTCTAAATTGTTGCTGCAAGCAAATTATTACAGCAGTATTCGTTCAATTAACTGAAACTTAACCGAATATAGTTCGAGAATAGATATTGTATGTATGTATGACATATGTGGAATGATTGTCTACGTTGTTCTCATTGTTACGAAAAATTCGAGAGAGAAGAAATATTATATGAGCTATGGAGTTGTACTTGATGCATGCGAATGAACAAGTATAAAAGTTAATAATAAATCTTCTTCTTTTTTTTTTGTAGATAAAGTGAAGTAGACCATAAGTTGTACATTTATAATAATTGTATTGTACTTTGAATACGAAAGCTGAATATGCATTTGCATATGCATCTTGCACCAACATAAGCACAAATACATATTTGAACAAGTGAAGCAACCACGTATGCGGTCTTTATATAGTTGAAATAAAATGGTTAAATAAACTTTTTATATTTTTCGAATGATATAGGACGTAGGTATACTATACCTCATTTGTGTTTTTTTTAATAATTACTTCGTACGTTAGTGGTTCTAACGGAAAATTTCATGTGCTGCTACTTAATTGATTTGAATAGTTATAAGCAGAGTTTGCAAATAATTAAGTAAATTACTGTAGTTTTACACAAATTCGTAAAATAGAAAACAAATGAAATCACATTGCATTATTGAATTATTTCCGACATGGTTATTTTTGTGAAAGCTCCACGCCAAACATATAGAGTTAGAGTTAAAGCTAACGCAAGAAGAACTCAGATTGGAAATACTGGTGTTCTAAAAACCGCAAAATTACTGTAGCAATAGCAGATCGAAGAGACAAGTCGATTTGGAGACCTATTATTGGGAATTTAAAAAAAAAACATATTCTCTAGTCAGAGAATCTCGTTCGGACTAGGTTGTATGTATAAGCAAATGTTCGGCGAAAATTAATTTCATTTTCACAGTATACATTACAGTTGAAATAAACATACGGATGAGAACTTATTTAAATGTTATTTTCAAAAACTAACTGAAATGAAATAGTTTTCCAATTGTTTATTGAATTATTATCTACTTGCTTAAATATCTTGCGTTATTAGTGTAATAATATTGTTTGGTTGGAGGTTGCCGCTATAACCGTTAATCGACTTGTAAACTGCTCGACTTTTAACAATAACAAAAAAATTATGTACAATTTCTCGCTCATCACTTCATATAGATGAAGATTCGCTGTACGCCAAAGGTTTACATTTATCTTTACCTATTGTTGTGTATAATTCATTCATTTCTTTTTATTTCATTTTAGATTGAAAAACAAGCATACGCTTCTTTATATATAAAATTCACTAATTACAATATTTTTCTTTTGCAGATATCAACGTACCGGCACACAGCAACGTTCCAAGTTTACTTAGATTAGAATTAATTATGTATGTATATTATGTATAAACGGGGCTTATTATTATTATTATTATAAATATTATTACAGTTTTTAGTTGAGATTGTATGGTGTAGGCTTACAGGAGAACCAGCCATTCAAAACAATTGGCAACGCGACTATCACGGCACCTCAGGGGTGGTGTGGAAAATCGTGCCAGGTAATATAGTTTACGATGGTTCCATAACTAACCGCTAAATAAATAACTACAAGTCATTGGGGCATTTCATAACGAAAAATGGAAAGAATTTAAACGTAATATTTTAAAATATATAATGAAAGATTATATTTATAGCCGGTTTTTTTCTCTTTTTAGGTATGGCTACCCTTTGTCGTCGCCGGCTATTGAAACCGCTCGTTACTTAGTGAGTAAATTGTTCTCCAATATCTTAGATGCATACGTTGAATAAAAGGGCGACCCATCAGTGGGCACTACAGAGCGGTCAATGTATTTGGTGATGAATTTTGCGATAACTTAGTTGCTGTGATTCAGAAATTTACACGATTTCACCGCCTTTGTTCAAGGCCTGCATCGGAATCAATCGTATTGGCAATATCAGAGAAATTGGCACGTGTAATGAGTTGTGTGCAACAATTTAGTTTACTAGGAGACGCTTTACGTTTGTAGACCAATAATACGGGAAGTTACGTTGCGATCTTGGTAAGGTATAAAACATGGTATTAATCTTTCTCTGCGTATTCAAGAAACGCAATCTGGGCAGAGTTGTCATATGGCTTAAAGTCTCGCATACTAACTTGGTAGTCGGGATTCTAATATTGCAGTTTGAAAATATTAATTATAAAACAAGTAAGAACACTACAGACGGGCAAACTTTCGAGATGATTAACAAAAGTTCACGAGAATTCGTTGTTCGATAAAATTCGAAATATGCCAAAAGTAGTCAAGGAGATTGAATGATGATGTGGGCGATGGATTGTAGGGAAATTTAACACATCCGCGGCCCTGAATGTTATGCAAAATTACGCGAATATTATTCAAATTTTAAAATCATTTGTTATTTCATTTAATTTTGTTCAATCTTAAAAACCTCACATAACATTTCTAATCAGATTTCAGATATCCTAACTAATTTAAATGCAGATATGTCTGCCTATTTTGTGCCTAGTGCGTTAAAATTGATAATATCCGCGAACTTGTTAAATATTACTGAAGAGCTTGAGTTTTTATAGCTTGCATTGCGTAAACCATGCTTGTAGAGTTAATCTTACGCCAAACCTGTCGCCGATATTGGTACGTCCAGCCGTTTACTAAAATTGTCTGACAACCCACTGTAATATGAAAGTTCGATTCATATTAAAACAAATGAATATCTATATATATATACTTACTTGTATCTAACATTTTCTGTACATTTAAGGGAGAAATCATGTATTTCCAATGATGAGTGCCTATTGGAATGAACCCTAATAAATATTCGGCTATCAGGACGCCCACTATCCACATTCGAACAGTTTGGTTAAGAGTGGTAATAAAAACGGAACCGCCTGGCTGATTAAAAAAACTATAGCCATATTAGCAAAATAAAAAGAAAAAATCCATTTAAAACGTATAACCTTTAAGCATTGGATGCAAGCTTTCAAGAAAGGCTCTTTGTTATCAATATGCTCCAATACTTCTGAAATTATCACCGCATCGTAAAAATTCTTTTTATCTTGCATATGAGCTTCGATGGATTCGGTCTTATAAGTTATATTATTAAGTAGCCGAGCGTTTGCCTCTTGCTTTAAATGCTCACAGGCTACATTTATTAATACGTCGCTCAAGTCGATGCCTGTTATCTTAGCATCCAAACGAGCCAACTGTTCAGTCAATATGCCTCCTCCGCAACCCACTTCAAGTATTTGTTGATTTTGTAATACATTGTTAGTGTTTATTAATTTAGAATCTACAGAACCTCTTGCGACCAGGCCATCTCTTATGAACGGTACCCTTTAAAATTGATTCATAGTATTCATGCATTTCAACTTATGTAAGGAAAATACCTTAAAAGGTTCATACGGTGTAATCCTTTCATCGGTCCATCAAGGTCCCACCAGCCTTCGGCTTTATTGCTATGGTGTTGAACATCTCTTTTCGTATGATCTGATATTTGTTGTTGCGGTTCTACAGGTAATGTACAATTTTTGGTAACATTTTCACGAATGCCATCAATTCCTGCAAAGCACCGAATGCCATTTACCCTGTATATCAAAGATATTTGCCTATTTTGAAATAGCAAATATTGGAATTGTTCTAGAACTTGTTGAAGTCATTTTACAGTTACAGTACCTTTGACGTTGTACAATATTTCTTAATGATTTTAACGTATATGTAGACATACTTTAAATTTTAGTATTTTCGTTGTACTCTATTTGTTATAATTTTTGTTTCTTTATTAAGACCACCACAGTTAATTATTTTTTACCGAAAAAATAACTTGGAGAAAAAAGAAAAGTTGAAGCTTGTCTTCGAGAAATGATACAGAATGATTTGCAGTGTGTATTTTGTGGGAAGATGTTCGAATTTTTAAGAATTTGTAATATACTTCTGAGATTGAAGAACACCTCCTCGACTTCCCAGGTTTATTGAAGGAAACCCTTGAAAGCCAAACAAAGGCAATTCTTTCGATTTTTAATGAGATGTTTTGGCGACTCATATCGCAAATATCATGGGGAGAAAAAAACAATACAACAGTGACGGGTAGAAGAGTGCGACTTGCATTACTCTCATAATGTCTTTATGGAGTCATAGACTGCAGCTTTAAATTCAAAAATAGATTTTGCGAGTCTTGTTGCAGCAATTAAAGTGGACAAAATGGTACGGCGAAGATGAATTGGATAGTTGCTAGTACGCCGATTATCAGTTGCACCACCTCTCTCTCTGTCTCTCTCTCTCACCCCTTATCTTAAATTTTTCTAACTTATACATTTCCCTCCTTTAGATTGATACCAAAATAAGTGAAAATATTGCAGCGGAACCCTGCCCACCGTCAAATGCCATGTACTACTGCGTTTGATACAGTTATTCATACAACGACTTTTCAAAATAACACCTTATGTAGGGAATGGTAGAAAAAGTGGCTCAATCGTGATCATTTCTAATAACGTTCGTCCTTGTGCCAAATAATGTCATCGTACCAAATTTCATCAAAATATTTCAGAAAGTACAACAAGACGGACAAACAGACAGACAATTAGATTCGCTTTCGGAATCGACCGAGAGAAAAAACGATGGGTCTATCTGGCTGTGGCATGCACTTGCATTAACTTAATTTTCTGTTTATGATCAATCACTCAGGCGAGGTTTCCTATTTATTTAACGCGTTGACGGTCAGAAAGAAGAGAGGGAAAGACAAAGAAATAAGGAGGTGGTGGCCGAAACCTAACGGGTTTATGTCTTCTCGTTAAGTGTTATGCGTTATGCGTTTGCCGACTGAGCACTCATTGCAGCAACGAGCAAAGGAAATTCTACAGTACTTGCGATTTGAAGCCGCGAGCACTGACTTGTTAGTCGCTCTTCTTACCTACTCGATTACTCAGGTCTAAACTTGGGACAGCCTTCTACCACAAGTGGTGCAGGGTAAAAAACTGGAAAGTAGCTAATCTTCTACTTATTTCGTCACTTAGGTTACGTGTTATTTAGAAAAGGATGGACATGGTAGTTAGCCTTGTTTTTTCTGTCTTACATATTCCAAGTACGTATTAGAATGGTTTCAGTGATACTTTCTCGCCTTGACTCTTATTTATGTGCGGCATTGCTACGTAATCAACAAACGTGTTTCTCGCGTCCCGCTTCGTTTGCCGAATGGTTTGTATGACCCACTATAACGATAAATACCACCGACAACGCTCTTCATCCGTTGGAACTTACATTTGTTTTGTGTCTGAACATTCTTTGCTTGAGTCTCTAGCTGGATTGCTTACGCATGTTTTATATGCAACGGAATCGATTAAACCATATGTTTTGATTCTTCTATGAAAACAACGATTATGCTAGTAAATCTTTCAGTACACACTTTGATTAAAAACAATATCTTTTGATCTTCGCCGAATTATGTTAAAAGAACCAGTAGTTGGTGCTATTCACGCAAGAAGTTATTAGTGATAGCAATCACGTTATATTCTCTGTACACCTTGCCCTAGTATTGAAAATTCTAATTAAATCGAGTTTAGCAACAAACAATGTATTTATTAAGAATTAATTCGAACAAGCGAATGATGGCTGTGAAAAGTAACTGAAGTTAAAGATGTTCTTTTCTCGTTTTTAATTAAACATCTACCATTACAAATGATTCGATTATGAGATGCACGTGATCAACATTCCAGTTCATTGCACTTTGCAAATATGTAAAAAATTTATAACGAGAAAGAGGACGTGCACATACACACACACAGTATTAAAATGTTGCTAAAAATAAGCAAGAAATAATATATTTGGCTTGGAAAGAATTTTTCAATAGACCTCAGTAACGTACCGACATTTAATTGCAAACGAAAATCCACTCGTTAAAAATCAAAAAAAATTGTGTAAATTTCATATCGTAGATGTGTTACACATTTTAAGTCAAAGTAAGATGTGGCGCCAACTCGTGGACAATACCTTACACATATTGTGGTGTACTTTGCATGTAGTTTAAAAATCATTTTCGGGTTGGATTTAAACTCGCCTTTCCGTTTGTCTGATATACACACATATATATATATATATATATATATATATATATATTCATGTTATATATATTATATATGTATTATGTTTACTCAAAAGACTGCAATTTTTGGAATAGTTCGACAAACTTTATTGCATTCACATATTTTGGCCCTATTGCCTCTATTGGCACCTTGTTAGCTTCCCTGTCAACTTGTATAGCTGTGATAGCTGTGATAATTGAATCAATACGTATGCTCGGCTTTATGAAAGTCCTTCAGTCACAACGCTTGATCATAGATGATATGAAAAGCCAGCAGAATATGAAGTGATTAAGTATTCGTAGGCTTAAAGTGGTTTGCGTTAGTGGCATTGGAATGAAAAGCGTCGTTTACGAGATACGTATAGCATATCCAACACGGATCTGTTGAGACAAAGCCTAACAGAAAAGAGCAGCAATATATGATATTATTACATAAATATGCATTACAAACGAAAGTCAATCTTGTCCAATACGTGGATATAATAATGTTGACCTTCGACTGTTGTTCTAGATCAACTGCATCAAACAGCGAGCTACGTTTGGAAGTATGTGACCTTGCAAGTAAAGGAACAAATTCGGAACAAGGACAACTCAATCGAGCTATGAATGATTATTTTGCTACTGAATTCAGTCCGCGCCACGTACTGTCAGCGAAGAAGATATTGTCAATGATATCTAATTGTGCTACAGTTATTCTATAGAAAAACTCGGTTAGTTGACATAGACAGTTTGGTGCCATAGGTCATAAAAATGATGCTGGAAAATTGCAGGTGTACGTTTACTCTTTATCGAACTTCGTCGAAGCAATGGTCAGCTTTTGATGATGCTGCATATGCAAGCAAATGTTTAATCGAATTATAATTCAGCTCGCAGATACGTTGAAATTAAACGCGTTTCAACTTTTTTTTTTTTTTTTTTTTTTGCTATATAAAAAGAGGAACGGATCAGGTCTGTAAAGGATAAGACCTACATACCCAGTCACGCTATGAGTTTTTAACACAAGTTCTTTCTTCGATCTTAATAATAGCAAAAAAAAATATAAAATTAATTGAAACATTTATTAACACTTAACACAGGTTGGTTTGAATGATTTCATGCGGGTAATTATCCTCAAAAAATATGTAACATATAATAGATGGTTTTAAACATTTCAGCTTTCTGGAAACTATGTTATAAATTGTTAGTTATTTGTAGTCAATAAAACATTAGTTTATTCAATCTTCAAATCTTGGAGGAAATTCGAAAACAGTTATGTTAGCAACAATATCGCCAGCAAAAACGCATATAGAGGAAACCTTAGCCTTAAAGCCAGCTAGCTGCTTAAGATGAGTTTTGTTGCGAGCACGAAAGATTTCATAAATAGACAAATTAAAAATAATGAGCTTAAAAGAATGAGGATCGAACATAATTTGCTTGACGCGGTTCAGCAATGCAAAAGAACGGCTCAAACGGCTCGATTTGACATTTGACAATGTGTACTAAAAATAAGTCGCCTTTATTTCTCGTTTTTCGTTCCTTAAAAAACGATAGATTGAACCAAATTTTTAAATCATATAACATAAAACAGATCTGAATTAGTGCAAAATGAACATAAATTAGATAAATAGCTTTCAAATTTAAAATAAGTTTTTTCTTTTTGTTTTATTTGTTTTCCTGCGTACAAAAATTTGCTAATTCCAACAAAGTCTTGGAAAAAGTTGAGAAAATTGATGCGTCACACGAAAAACAAAAAAACGCATCATGCTGCGTACACCAAGGACCCTTCTATTGTACTTAAAGCCAATAAAGTCTAGATGTATTACCCAAAATTTTTATTTTAATGAAATTTATCGAAGTTTCACAGCATTTCTTATTTTAGGTTATGCCATTTAGATAAATTTGAAAAATGTTAAATGTGTAAAAATATAACGTACTAAAATGGTGTTTTTCTCAATTTTGTGAGCAGAAAAGCGAAAATCATTGGAAGCATTGAAAAAAAAAATCATTTTTAGTTCATAGTACTTGTTTTCCTACATTTAAATAGTAATTTAGTTAAAGTCAGAAAACATACAAAAAGGCAAGAAATTTCTCAAGAGATTAGAAAAGTGATTATAAAGTTAAGAAGTGGGGAAAAAGCGTACGGATCAAAAATAATTGGAATCAGTTGTGCTACTGCTCTGACTATTATAAGAAATTACGATAACTCAAATACTAAAGAAAACAAGTAGCGATCAGACCGGCCATTAAATTTCGCTTATTAGCGATTTGAAGATTTCCGTCTTTCGGGCAAATGGGTCTTAGAGCAAGATAACGATCCGAAACATGCATCTCTCATTGTGCACAAGCAGTAAAACGTCCCCAAACAATCACATTCTTCCTCGCAATCATCAACTTGATTTAAATGCAATCGAAATCATGCGGTTGAATAGGCGGGTTGGAAAAAATAAAATTTCTAATATGGAAAACCGTAAGGAAACTTTACTTGAGGAATGGTACAAAATTGGGCCAGATGTAACAGAAAAAAGGCTTCTTCATTGCCAAACCGTATACAAGCAAAGGTCCAACAAAATACGAATTTTTTCATTTTACCCACAAAGAATATATTAAACTGTCTGTGAAATAAACTGTATGTACACTTTTTGTGATATTTTTTGATATTCAAGTATGTTTTTTGTTTATATTAATAATCGCTTCAAATATTGTTGTTCTATAACATATCCTTTCATTTGAAAATATCTGCCAAAAACTACTTTTTTGGCGGTTGTTGCAGTAGTCTATCTCTTTATTAACAGTATTTTGTCGTTACTACGCAGTTAGATATGTAGACAATACGTAAGTGACGATGGCAACTCTGTTTATTGCACGTGGAATTCTTGTTGACAGAACTACTTATAATATTTTATTTAAAATTTGCTTTTAGAAAGTATTTCTTAACAAAAATGAAAGTTGCATCGAAAAAGCTGGCAAATCAATCAGTCAAAAATAAGATTGCAAAAACGAAAAAAGTCGCTGCTAAAACCAAGATCAAAATAAAACCAGTGCCGGTCAAACAGAAACATCTAAAAAAAAATGTCAAAGAAAATAAGAAAAGTAAAACTCGAAAACACTTAGAAGGGCTTAAAGATATTGATCCAGAGTTTTACGAATTTCTAAAGAAGAACGATAAAAAGTTGCTAGAATTTAATCTATGGGATAGTGACGATGATGAAGAAATTGCTGTAGAAGAGAATAAGAAGCGGCCAAAGGGAAAAGATGGAAAAAAACCACCAAAAAAATGCAATGATTCTGAAGAGGATAGCGAATCTGCGTCAGACAACGTTGACGCTGATGAGGAGGAATTACACACACCAAACCACCAATTAGAAGTAGCTAGCGATGAGAGCGATTTCGAAGATGACAAAGATGTTACGGCAGCCGAGGATTCGCAAAAAGTTACTTTGAATATTTTACGTCAGTGGCAAAGGGAAATGGAAAATGATACAGTATCTGTGCATACAATACGCAAAACAGTGCAAGCATTTAGTTCGGCTTTGTGTAGTATATCAGGAGACGGTGACGAAGCTAAAGCACCTAAAGTTTTCAAAGTTGTTGGGGCAGCTGCTTTTAATGGCGTGGTTCAGTTGTGCGTTTTACATTTACAACCAGCTTTGCTTCGCTTTCTGGGTATTTCATCTGGTACTGCGTTGCCTCTGCATAAATTGAAAAAGTGGGCAAAAATTCGCAGCTGTTTACGTGTCTACCTGTCAGATCTGATTCGTTTGGTTGAGCAGGTATCTAGTCCACATATACTGATGGTCCTGCTAAAGCATTTACATCAGATGGCTGCTATGGTGACTCCATTTTCGGCTTTGACCAAAACTATATTAAAAAGATTAATTGTATTATGGTCTGCTGGTGACGAGGCGGTGCGAGTTTTATCATTTTTGTGCATATTGAAAATTACACGAAATCAACAGGTAAAAATAATAAGTTAAAGCAATTTTTAATTCATCCACTTTTGTCTATTTTTATAGGGCTCCATGCTAAATCATGTGTTGAAAGCTATGTATTTCTCATATGTACGGAATTCAAAGTTTGTCTCACCTAACACCCTACCAGCTATTAATTTTATGCGTCGATCATTAGTAGAAATGTTTGCGCTTGATTTAAATGTGTCTTATCAGCATGTGTTCCTTTATGTGCGTCAATTAGCAATTCATTTACGAAATGCGGTTATTCTGAAAAAGAAAGACAGTTTCCAGTCAGTTTATAACTGGCAATATGTGAACTCGTTGCATTTGTGGGCGGATTTGTTGTCAACAACCGCAAATAAGCCTCAGCTACAACCTTTGGTGTATCCACTTGTGACTATTACTATCGGAGCGGTGCGACTTATACCAACAGCTCAATATTTTCCTTTGCGTTTCCATTGTCTACAGGTTCTCATCTCGTTGTCCAAAGGCACTAATACTTTCATACCCGTGTTGCCTCTTATTTTGGAAGTTTTGCGTAGTAATACATTCAATGGCAAACACACGTCGGTTTCAATGAAGCCCTTGCAATTCACGTGTGTATTACGCTTGAATAAAAAGCAATTAACTGAGAATGGCTTTCGAGATGAAGTTGTCGAGCAAGTTTGCGCGCTAAGTTTGGAATATTTAGCTTTTGAATCGTCTTCTTTGGCCTTTAGTGATTTAGTAGTGCCAGCTGTTGTAGCTTTAAAGGGTTATCTGAAAGTATGTCGAAATCCTAATTATTCGCGTAAAGTAAAACAGCTACTAGATAAAATACAAGAAAATGCCAAATTCGTGGAGCAGGAAAGAGCCAAAATCACTTTTAGCCTTAAGGATTTGTCCCAAGTCCAAATGTGGGAAACGAAAATTCGCAACAAAGGCACTCCCTTGGATATTTACTACAATAGTTGGGTGAAAACACACGAAACGAAAAAGAGACGACAAGCAGCGCAGAGCGAAATCATTAACGATGATTATGATTTGCCCAAAATAAAGAAGCTCACTAAAAGATCTGCAGCAACAATAAAAGATGAAGGCGACGAAATCGACCTGTTTCCTTCCGATTCTGAAGAAGAATCCGAAAAGCTGAAATCGTCACCGGGGGCTGCGGACTCTCAGGGCGATGAAAAACGAAAGCAACTAACAAAAGTGTCCAAAAGAGAGAAGAAAGTCAAAATGGCTTTAGGGAAGCCATCGATAGAATGCGGTGCACCAAATGAAGAGCCTGAAAATGAGGAAGTAGACATTCTCAAGGACTTGGACTTGGATGATTGGTAGAATTTATAGGGTGTTTAGTTAATAATTTAATTCTCTCTACAATTAATTAATTGTTAATGTTAACTAAATAAACATGGTGTCTTTTAAATTTATTTCTTTTCCGGATCCTTATTTGGTATTATTTCAAATTCTTCGTATTTAGGGTAAGTGCCAATCGCACTTGTGGATGGTGCCGAGGTATTTTTTTTATATTTAGCTTCAAGTTTCTCAGCATTCCGCTTTTTCATTTCCATAATTTGTAAATTTTGGATCAATTCTTCTTTTGTGGGTGGTGCATCACGACGGCCTCTTAGCCAAGCCTCCCACTCGGCCGTAAGCTCTTGATCGAAAGCTTCCTTATCGGCCGGCTCAAACCATCTTGAAGGCTTGCGTTTACCGATCGACGGATTTGCAGGAATTTCATAATATTTGTTACCAAAGTAATCTTCACCAATATAATTACCGCGAAACTGTCTCGGCCTCAACGATTTAAAAAAATTTTGGAATATAATTTTAATTAAATCACGTTTCTTATCTGCCATTATTTATCCACAGTTTACAGCGTAATGTTTGTGTTATTGTAAATAATTATTTATTTTCTGTCTGAAGGTTATATTTACATCATAACATAAAACAGCTGACAAAGGGATGGTTATAGCAGATGATCAATGTTCTGGATTAACACTAAGACGTTGTATTGAAGAAAGAAAATTTTTCGCGAAATTTAATACACAAATTTACAACATGCGATCAGCTCTCGCCTTTTTGCTGAAAATTTATTTTTAATAAATAATGTTTAAAATTAAATATTGGCAGCACTGGCCTACGGATTTCCAATCAGAGTACTCAGAGTACCTAGTTTTCCTCTTCTTCTATCTTCCATTTCTTTTATTTAATCATTAAAAACACAAAAAGTTAATAAGTCCATAAAAAGTACTTTTTGTTAATGTGAATTTGTACTAAAAAAGAAAGAATAAAAAACAGTAAAATAAACATATATTTAAAATATATAAATTAGGAGAAAAACACCTAATACAATCAGAGTAAGAAAAACAATAACAAAAAATAATAATAATACAGTTCGGCAAAAAATGTTGAAACGTGCAAACCCTGATAACAAACGAAATTAACTAATCGACGAATTCACTTTAACTTTAACTCTTCCCCGCGAGCAGTTTTTCTTTTGTTTAGCAACGACGTGCATCAAGTCCGGCTATAAAAATCAGTGCAAAAAAGTCGTAAGCGAAGAATACACTGCTTTTGCAAAGTAAAATAGATAGAAGGGTAAGACAGTGTGAATGGTGTGTGCGGTGTAAAGCAATCACAGCCAATCAGTAAGTTAGTGAATCTTGCTGGAGATATACTAATCGTTAGTGGGGAAGACGAAAGGTGCTCTTAGTAGCAGAGGACTGGCAGCAGCAACAGTAGCAATACAAGTAAAGTAGAATCGACAAAGCGAAAGAAAAAAAGTTGAATAAAACAAAACACAGCCGAAGAAAGAAGCAGGAAACTTGTAGAGAAATTGTTGCCAATTTCCCCCTTTTTCACGTTTCAAATTTACGCACAAAAAGTGAGTTTGATATTATACATTATTTTCTTTGTAGTTTGTTAAAATTGTTAAAATATTGTTTATAAATTGTTGTCAAATTTTGCAGTGTACACCTCACCATTACACTATTCGACCATGAGGCCGCAACCACCGGGCGGTGGGGTGGGCCAAACACATGATCCTAATGCTGAAGAACTGCGTAATGCGGAATGGTATTGGGGTAAAATTACACGCGAGCAGGTCAAGAATATATTAAGCGGAAAACCAGACGGCAGCTTTCTTGTTCGTGATGCTCTTTCCAAGGAAGGTGAATACACATTAACCCTAATCAAGGATGGCACAGAGAAGCTCATAAAAATTTGCCATTTAAATGGAAAATACGGTTTCGTGGATTGCAAATTTAATTCAGTGGTTGAACTGATCAACTATTATAAAGTTAACTCTCTGAAATTATATAATAAGACATTAGATATCACGCTTAGTAACCCGATCGTGCGGCCTCTAGATGATGATGAACTTCAGCCTAATGGGGATTTGCGGATATTGGCTAACCAGTTTTTAGTATTGCACAATCGCTTGAATAAACATCAACAAAGCTTGGACCAAAAGTTGAAAATTTTCAAATCCATTGAAACTGAATTGAATGAAAAGAAATTGCATCAAGAAGTTTTCCAGAGAGCCGAGAAAATGTTTCAATCACAAATAAAATTAATTGAAACATTTATTAACACTCAACCACAGGTTGGTTTAAATGATAACAATGCGGCGATAAGCAATTCAATGCGCCAACAGGAGCAAGAGCAATTGCAACAGAATGCTGCTTTAATAAAGGCACGTCTAACCGATCTTTGCTTTGAAATGACAAAATTAAATCGTTATGTTGAGGAAAAGAAAGAGGAATACAAATCGCTGGAACGTCAGATTAACGCAGCCAAACCGGAGTTGCAATCAATTATCGCACGCAAAGAGATATTTACAGTGTAAGTACAATTATATATGTGACTAGACATCCAGTGATAACTGAATTACATTTTCTTAGTTGGCGTCTTATTGTTTACTTACTTTTTTTGCTTTCATTGTTGCTTTACATGATATTACATATCTCCCTTTAATGGTGTCATAATATTTTCTATTTTCTATTGCGGTAGGTTAGGGAAAATGCCTATACTTTTGCGACTATTATGTATGCATGAATGGATAAGTGAACTTTTAATTACATTTCAGGATGAAAAAACAAAAACGGAAAACAAAAACGAATAATATTCCGCTCGAAGTGAACATTCCGTTTAATATTCTTCGAAAGCGGAGAAAAAGTATTTCATAAAAAACTTGCAGCAGTAGGAAAAGATAAGGTGGCATAAAAAAGTAATAAGCAAAAAAAAAAAAAAAAAATTAGGCTACATAATGCAAAACTAATTGTTGAAAACAAGGCTTAGAAATTTTCAAATACTCGATAATCGCAACCAGATAGACGATCAGCTCCTGGGTTGACACGTGTGTTCGATAAATATTTTTGGCCATTAAAATTGCTTAGAAATGCGCCTTTCGAGAAGAATTGTCTTTAATCCAAATTATTAAAAAAAATTTTAAATAAAATCAAATTAAACGGAGAAATTGCGAAATTGCCAACTTTTCAACTGAAATCTAACGGAAATGGAGTCCAAGCACACAAATCTAAATGCACTTCGTGATGTTGTGTTTCTGCAATCTTCTAAAATTATTCAGTTACCTAATGCATGCATTAATGACAAGTATGTTTTAAAGCTAATTTAAGAATTTCGCCACTAGTTTTCGGCCTGTTGTCAGGCATATTTTGTGTTGGGATGTGTAATGAATATTTGTTATCTATTTGCATTTTTATTGGCTGCAATATTTGTTCTGCATTACAAAAGAAGAAATAAAAAAAAATCGTTTTAGTCTTAATTTTTGAAAGCAAACGTTTCAAATACAGGTTACACCGTGACAATGCGATCGCTTCTATTTGATGCATGACTGCATTCTTTCTTGTGATAATATTGTAAAAATTTAAAGATTCGTACGCTATATTTTGTTTAATTTCTTCGCCTCTTCAGTTAAATCACAACTATTGTGTGAATCATTTCTTTGTCATAAGTTATTTTGGAATGCATGAAATATTTTTTTTTTTTTTTTATCATTTAACATTTTGGAATTTATAGAAGAATTTTTATTAGAAACTTTACTAACTTTTAAGTTAACCACGGTCGGATCATAAAAGGAAGCAAAACACATATTTCTTTGTTTCCATTTTGTTGTTTGGAAAGCACAAGCACGATTTTATTTTACCAGGCATGACTATTATTAAGATCACAAATTGAAAAGCATGAAATGTAGAAACATACATTTTTATATGCATAACAGGGAGTATATTAGATTTGTAACACATAGAACCATGCATCGAAGACCCTATAAAATATATACAAAATGTTTGCATTCCTTTCCAGAGTGAATAACAGAATCGATATGGAAGTCTGCCGTCCGGTCGTCTGCTTTTTTTTTAAGAATATCCTGAATCATTTCATGGACTCGCTGTCAATTACTAAAACTGATATAATTTTAAGCTTAATAAGATTGGCGTTTCAATTTCGAAAATAAACTGATCCACGCGTACGGTTCGCCCTATACCGTTTTTGAGATCTCACATTGAAATGGCCAAATGTAGGCCACTCTAGTAAAATTAGTATGCCATTATTGCGATATTGCACTTTCTGCGATATCTGAGAGAAAAAGTGAACCATGGGATTTAGCGGGTATCTTGATGTGAACTTTATATCAGTAAAACAGTTTTCCAGAGAGCGAAGTGTAGTGCCGAATGACAGTCGGACCAGACAAATTGCGGCTTATGCGGTGAATTTATCAAAACTTTTTGGCCAGGCATTAAATATGCGTGTGCTTTGGCATTGTCATGGTAGATGACAACACTTTTCTCATCGATTAAAGTTGGCCGCTTTATCTCAATTTCGCACTTTAATTGTTTTAATTATTGAGATTGCAGACTAGGACTACATTACGCGACGTCAATGTAAGCTTCGCCCTCGGTCATACAACTTCATCTAATTTGGGTAACAAACTTTTTCATTTGTTTTTGTCGCAAGTGTCGGTTTCTTCAAAAACGGTTCCATCTGCAAATGGATGCATGAAAATTCTTATGTTACGGCGATGGTCTCCCTCCAGTATTTAAACATATTCATAACTTCGGACTGCTTTTAATAACGAATTCTCTATACCGGAATCAAGTGCTTCCCATAAGCAAATAAAAAAAAGTTCGCAAGGTTTTGTTTTAATTGCATTGTAAGGGCTTTATTGCCAAAATTACTTGACGCCAAATTCATGGTTTGGGAAAAACACCGCAAACCTTTTTTCTTTAGATATTTAAAAAATTAACGTTTGTTCGCGCAATAAAGCATCATAGGCAAACAGGGTGCGGACTAATACGAGCAAACACAACTTTCTTGTAATATTTTTACACTCTTTTTCTAATTTTATAACACAAGGTAAACGGTCGACTAAAGGTCATATCATCACTTTTGACGTCGCTTATAAATTCTTATTGAATATGCATTTTTTGAGCAGCCCCTTTTTTAGTATTGTGAAACTGTATGATGTTCAAAATATTGCCACTTTTAAGCTATAACGCTTCTGCACATTTAAGGCCGTAGAGACACTCCTGTGGAAATCTGGAAACTTTTATGGTCATACTGCAAGTGATTACCTCATTAGAGAAGTTGTTCACCAGGGATAAACAGGCAATACTAAGAGTGTGAATGGTGTGGTGCTAGGGCTTACTGTAGAAACGTTGCAAGTTGATCGATTTAGTAGCATCTTTCGGAAAATTACCTGGCTTTCGTTTTCATCTCTCTTCCCAGTTGCTACTTTTAGTGATTATATTGCTTACAATTGATTATTGAACCATAATTTCTTAGCTCCTAAGACCCAAAAACGCCACAAAGTACATCGTATGTTTTTTCTTTTACATTATTGAAGCAATATTCCACACACCGAAGTCTCTTGACTTTTGATTAGAGTGTGGCGTAAAAGTTGGTCTTTCTCCGAATTGAAATTTCTTTTATTGCTTTACAGCAGTTTATTACGGATCTATTCCTAGTATTCTTCGCGAATCTTTATCTTCAAAGTTTTTTTGCCGATTTCAGCCGAAACAATCTTTAGATATGGAATTGATTGCTGCTTATTTCGTGGAGCGCTCGTTCTGCGCGGTTGATCGTGACACGAGTCCGAGTAGTTTCATTTTATCGTTTTAAGTGATTATGACACAAGAATCGACTTTGAACGTTAGGGCTTAAACGCAATCAGCTTTGATTGCTTATTCAATCATTGCAAGTAGAATACATTAATGGTGTGAATACGAATTTAATACCCATGCTTAAAAAGCGATTACAACCAGGTGTCGGTAGGCTCCTCTTACCTTCAGAGCGTAACTTCAGAGCGTAAGCCACAAAAACAAATTAAAGAACAAATTGATTTCCATCCCGAAAACGCCTTAGATGACCTTGCATAAACCAGAAGAAATGTATGTATGTATGTATGTCGCTTGCGACCTGTGAGTTTAACAAAACGAAGAGAATTCGTCTCGTAACGAATTTATCTAAGGTCTTGCCTTTATGCAATATTTTACAATTTAAGATTGAATCGGTCAACACAAAGCAATAGGCTTACAGGAGTATTTGAAAGAAATTCTATCTCAGAAATTGATCTTTGCCTTCAAAACGGTTCATGTATGGATTATTTTAATGTAAATCATTCTTGAAACCGAACTTTTCTCCTACCAAGCCTCATTCCAAAAACATTTCCCTACAACCTAAATAAAGGCTTCAGCTCTTGCTTCATCGTAGCTAGCTGGGTAGGTAGTTTAAGCGGAATAATCATTCGAAGGATCCAATTGTAACTAGCAAAAACTCATACAAAAAAATAAAGAAAGAAAGAACCAATAATCTTCTTCTTAATATCCATCCATGGCTTATGTTGAGTTATGATTATTTTACTGTACATTCCACTGCTTGCAGATAATTGGAACGAATATCTCATTTATAAACATTAAATACTTGTTGCTGGCGTTATTGTACTAGAGATCATAAATACAATATTTATATTTTTACTTATATTTAATATCAAATACCACTCACGGTACAGGGTATATTAATTTTGTGCGGACGTTTGTAACACCGTCGAGAAGGACTTGAGATAGACCCACCTGTTATTGTACAGAGCGAATAAGAATCATTATCTAAATCTATCTGAGCTTGTCTGTCCCTCTGGTATCCATGCATGTGCCCGTGTGCTCAACACATTTTTTCGCCAGCCTTGAAAAGAGTATTGGTAAGAAAAAGATTATTTTTCAGTTTTGAAGCCTTACTCGCGATTTCGACAGATGTTATTAAATTGCGATTTCACTATTTTCGCTGACCCGTATGCATACAGCCCGCATTCTTAGTGTTCGCTGTTTTAGCCAATTACTCCTCTACAGAAAAAACTCAGAAGCAGATCGGGTAATTACGGAGAAGAAAGTAGGAAATTTTCATAGAATACATAAAGTTTGTAAAAATTTATTCGCATTAATTTCGATATAATGAGATTAGAGGGCAGGTGAAATGTTGGATATTTGAAGCAGCATCATTCTATGATATGGTATTACAAAAGTGTTCCCTCTAACAATCTAAAAAGAACGTTTGGGAGATTCTATAACTTGGTCATTGCATTCGTGATTCTGTAATCTAAGCTATAAGAGACTTTCACAAAGTTACAGAAAGCTTGGCGAGATATAGGCAATTCAATATGGCAATAGACATGACCTATCCACAAATGCCGTTGCAGTCAATAGAAAAATTCATTTAATTTTTTCACCATTTTTCGAATTGAAAATTGGACTCCACATAATCACAGAAAAAATTCCATATATTGGATGTAAAAATTATACCATATGATTTGGGTTACAAAGTATGTTAAGCTTGTACGGACGTATGCAACACGCAGAAGCGCTTAAGATAGACCCACCATTGATTACACAATGGACAACATGAGAAATGACTCTATTTTTTTAAAACTTGTGTTGATCGGAGTGGCGGCGTCTTTTTGCCCGCGAGTTGATCGAACATAGGTTGGTATGCTCCATCTCAATAAGCGAAACACGGCTCTAGATAGCTTCGCCTATGAAAATGACAACCGATTGAAAGCGCTATAGATTGTGTCGGTTACATTGTACATAAAAAAAAAAAAATAAAAAAAAAACACAAAACATATGCTTTCTGCGAATTATCGTTGAATTGTGAAGGAACTGATAGGTGGGCAAGGCCTTATGTAACTTAAATGCAGATGGCCGACCGATGACATATCTGCTATTTCAGTTCAGATTGCAGAAGTTCATATGACCATAATTACGACACAGATTCCTCCAATCGGCTGTTAAGTTAACAAACGGAATCCAATCAGAATTTCATGCTTATTAAAACTATGCATAAACTTTATCGCGTTACGCATGGCATAGCACGTTACAAACGTAACAACTAAAGTTCAGAGATGTTGTTCTAGTAGAGAGCATGAAGTCTTTGCATACGTTACAATTTGCTCTGTTTAGTCACACATTCATTTCATCAGTTCCGATTAAATAGATCGCACTTACATTATTGTTGTTTGTGTGCCATTTTTGTGGTCGTCATGCTGTCTGCTATTATCGATACATGTGCAATTCAACTTTTTGTGACTAATGAACATTTTTTTAAATTACAAATGTATCTCGTGTTTGTATAGAAATTTATCATTAGTGGCTTCATTTATGTATATAAAGCATATGTAGTTGATTTTTGTGATTTTTTTTTTTTTTTTTTGTAAAAAGCTGATCGATAGAAGTGTTAGCTACGTTACGTGACGGCAAATGTGACTCACTTGGATTAATAAAAAGTGCATTTAGCTACGAACATGTGCATAATGAAAAAACACTTCATTTCCATTAAAGCTCTGGCTAGCAGCGATTTCATGCGCTGTACGGATAGTAGGGAAAGGCAACCTTACGTCTCTTTTCGTATCAATGAATCTAAATTTGCTCTCCATAGCCGTTCAAATGGTTTTCCTAACGTGCCGTTTAAATAACTACCTACAGGCATTATACCTTCGCAAAAAGCGAATTATAGAGAAGACATCATTCGATACGTTCGTTGGCGTGACATACAATCATGACTACGATGACTTTTAGACAGCATCAACCGGAACCACAGGGAATGTTTTAAAATTTCATAACGATCCGATCATTAATTTACAACTTACAGTTGTACAGCTTAGTGTGTGATGCTAAACACGAAATTCAAATTTTTCCATTGTTTAACAAAAACAAAAGTGTCGATATCTCTCTATATGTCATCCTACGACCTTACGAAACGATGTGTTGTATCCTATGTAAAATACAGTTTTTCGGGACTATTCCTCGCAAATTAAGCGTATCATTCAAATGGCACAAGATTTGTGGTCCAGTGCCTAATACAGAGGAGTTGCCGTCACTGCAACATACTAGTCGTTAAATTTTATTCCATCGACCTTCAAAGGAATTATAATATGTTCTCGTAGCAAGAAACTCTAGGTAGTTAGCTAGCGTGGACAACAAAGAGGCATGAGTAGGTAAGAATCGCTAAACTACTAAGATAGCGTGCGGTTGAGTTTACTTTGACCGCCGCCAGAGTGAGTGCTCAGTCCGTAAAGGCGTAATGCTGCTTACCGATTAGACACACCCACTAGGCTGCGGCCACACCCTTCCTATTTTTTCTCCGATCATCACCAAGTTACGCAAATAGGGAACATCCTCTTTGGTTACATAAGAGGATGGAAAAAAAATAGACGCAAAGCATTACAAGCCGCTGCCGCTACCATCGAAGCGGTTCTTTCGAAATGAATGCAATGAAAGTTGCATAATTCCGCCAGATCTTTTGAGCAAGTTTTAACGGGCTATGTGCTTTGTCATGCCCTCTAATAGTTTCAAATTTTTCATTTCCCCATTTTTCTTTCTTCTACTTCTCTCCCGATTTATAATCTGAGAACTAATCGCCACCTGGTATATAATTTTTGATTGATATTATAAGATAGATACTAAAAGGAATGCGATCGACTCGAATTTTTTGGCTAGAATACAGTGCACCTAAGAATGTCTATTGTTCAGTTAGACAATTAGACGTCGTCGCCGCCGTCGTCGTCGTCGTCTTGTTCTCATAGTTTAATGCATTTATCAGTTGTTGCCAAGATCAGCACCTGTGTAAATTCAGTTTTATACCGACTTCTGCACCATGAGTTCTGATGAAAAAATGTTCTTTGTTTTTCTCCCTCCCTCTCTCTCTTTCTCTCTTTCTCTCTCTGTCGCCGATGAAGTTTTAACCAAATGTTGTTTTATATTTAAATTGTATTCGATTTACTGTTGTACGTGTATATTTAAATCTATTTATGAGTTTTTTTTACTTAACAATTGATTCAGAGAAGAATCACGTGTTGCACAAAAAAAAGCGAAACATTAAAAAGTGAAAAATTTTTCTATTTATTTAAGAGGATCGCCTGTGTGCCACATATTTATATAAAATCGTTCATTAATTAGAAAATCTTGCATTTATATCGTTTAAAACGTGCAGAAGAGTATCACTTCCACTTCGGAATAGTTCTATCAGAGTTTTTTTCAATGTTAATTTCGTAAGTTCTTTTTTTCTGATAGCGTTTGTCTTTTATATTGCAGACGTCTTAAGGATTTTGGTATTAAGGACGAAGATATTAAGCAATTGATTGAAATGGGTTTCGAAGCTTGGCAACAGCGTTACGATAGCGTTGTCAATCAGCCACATAATGATGAGTCTATGTGGTTCCTAAAAGACTGTTCACGTAGTAACGCGCATGATTTGTTAAATGGAGCGCCTACTGGCACTTTTTTGATACGAGCTCGGGAAGCTGGGCACTATGCTTTGTCAATTGTTTGCAAGAATTCGATTAATCATTGTATGATCTTTAAAACTGAAAGCGGTTACGGGTTTGCGGCCCCGTACAATATTTACCATACATTAAAAAAATTGGTCGAGCATTATGCAAGTAATTCTTTGGAGGAGCATAATGACACATTAACTACAACGCTGCGTATACCGGTTGTATATTGGCATCAGAATAAGGACACTATTATGCAACAATTGCAGGAGGAAATTGAAATGGAACGACAACAACAACAACAAGTCGAATTGGAGCAACAAATGCAAGAGCATATGATGCTGCCGTCGCCAATTGTCTCCTCAGCACCGATAGCAGTTACTGGTTCGGCTGCTTCCATTCATGGCAACGATATGGCCGCCAGTCAAACGCCACCAACGGCAACCCCGCCACAAGCACATTCCTACGGCAGTAGCAGTGGCGGCAATGGTAGCAGCAATCTGTAGTCGTAGCGGCAAACGTGCAAATGTAATGGTTTTATATGAACGTGCAGCAAAACAAAGGAAGCGAGATGGTGAGAGTGAGAGCGAAGGATAGAAAGAGACTAGGAGGCGAACATAGGTAAGTTATCGATTTTGTATGAAAGGTGCTTGAGAAAGATTGAGACGTTCTTTAGTGCTAGTATTGGCTGTTGAACATTGTTTTTCTCTTTAATTTAAAATGAATTTCCTGAGAAAGAATAAAAATTTTTATTATGTAATAAGGAAATTTATACAAAAAAAAAAAAGAAAAAAAAACAAAAAAAAAACACTATTTATATATGCCGATGATGATAAAAAAGTCTTCGATATTTTTGTTTGTTTGTATAAAAGTAGCCTAGAAATATGAAATATTATAATCCAAATTTATATACATATTTGATATGAATCCATAAATAGTAATTAACATATAAAAATTAACGAAAAGGGAGAGCAAACTAAAAAAAAGGAAATATGGAAAATGTAATTGCATTTCGCGCGATATGAAAATTGAGAGAATGCCTTCAATGTTTTTTCTTCTTTTCCTTTTTCTATTGTTTGATTGTATATAAAAATATTTAAATGTCTTTCGTTTGTTTTCTTACACTTTATTCACTTTATTATGATTTCATATTTTTTCTAAATATTAATAATTGTTTTTTGAATTTTGAATCCAATTTTTATTTATTTAGCGGAAAATTGCAATATTTTATCCAAATTTCACGTATGTTAATTTTGTTTATTGTGCTGAAACGATAATATGCAATACGTTATATGTCTTCTTATTAGTGAAGAAAGCTTTTACTACAACAACAATATATTTCTCTTTTTAAACGAACGTTTTAGCTAAGGCTTTAAGCCTACAGTCATGATAAATACCCAGTGAAGTTGTATATAAGTTGTAAATATTATGGAATAACGATTAAAAACGGTATAGATAATCTTGTAATAGTTTCCAGGAAAGAATTGAAAAATAACTCAGTCAAAACAATAGGAAATTGCGAGGTTAGAATTAAAATTTTTATTTAAAATTATTCATTCAGTTAAAAGTTTATGTTGAAAAGAAAGGTATTTCGATTTTATAATTTTGATGTCCGTCCCAGCTTGTGTGTGCCGTGTAGTTTTTCCAATTCCAAGTTATTAATGACTCATTGCCCTAAAAAGTCGAATCGTCAGGTTTTTGCAATGCCGTGTGAGTAGGAAGATCGCTAAAAATGTTCTCTAAACCAACAACCTTACCTTTAAGTTCGTATTTACTTACTAATTTTCCCTCTTATACGTCCTATATAAAAATTTATCTTGAAGAATATATATATACATCACGTATAATACATACGTGACTAGATGAAACGACATATCACGTGAACGGATCTTGGCCCTTTTTTTGCAAATACGTTGCCTTTGAGCTAATGACGACTAAGACAGTAGTTCGAAACGAGACGTAATTAAAGTCTCCTCATCATCCCTTTGCCGAACGTGTTTCGGGAAAAGCTTTTTTCTATTTGTTCGTCTTATTTTACTTGCCATTTTTTTTTTCTTCAGAACAAGAGATATTCGCGCCAAGCATTGACTGATAAGAATTTTGATTTGCTTAACTATCTTTTTATTATATCTATTTATTTATTTTTTTTTTTTCAACTATCTTTTTAACTGAAAGATTACTCGTAATTTTAAATATTCTTCAAATTTCTAGTTTTTAAATTTTTGGAAAGAACGGCAGATTTACCGTGAACTAAACTTGAATGTTCTGATGTTATTTCGAGTCGTAAAACACTCTTTACCTTGACACGATCTGTCTTGGCCAACGATGTATCTTTCTTTCTTTTTTTTTCTTTCTTCTTTTCATTCTTTTTTTTCTCTACCAAAAAGTATATTAATTTTGTCATTCTATACGTCACGTGCGGAAACTCTCCTTGTAGGCCCCATAAGAGCGGAGATTTTTGACTTTATTCAACCGTGTTCATCCGTTCAACCGTCCATTTACAGTTTTTTAGTGTTTAAGACAATTAACTAACAAATAAAAATTGATCGATTTCGTTATTAGCGCAATACATGGCACACTACCTTTTGATTTCACTGCATTGTTATGTACATGGTCCATAACTGTCTACACTACCGCTCCGATTTGAAACTTGCAAAGTACAACGATCGTTTAAATGCATTAAACGCACAGACCTCTTTGACTTTGCCATATATTATTATATCGCTGAGATCGCTGCCTCTTCCGGCTATATTGCTGTTGTGCACAATGCATCTTCCATCACTAATCACTTTAGATGTCAGTCATATTCCAAAAATTTAATAAATAAGTTCCTTCTAAGACGGATAATATAAAAGCCAGATATTGTTGTTCTCTGTTCTGTAGTTTTTTCAAAACTGCTCTGCTGGAAGAAAGAGCATAGCGTCCGGTGATTAGGGGAACATTGTGATGCAACATTTGTTATTAGGCGATCTTGAGGAGTTGGTGGTGGAGTAGCGCTTTGATCGTATAGCTACGGTGTGTGCTCAGTCGGTAAAAATAACACTTACCGATTAGGCACATCTATTCTAGGCTGCGACTACATCCATATCTCTTTCACTTCTTTCCGTCTGCCGTCATGTTAGGAATCATCAACCTGAGTGCTTGGTCACATTTAAGAAAAAATCGATCTCGAAGAACTTCTCAAACATTGGAACCGATCAATTTCGGGTTATGTTTTCACCATATCTAAAGAAAGGATTGAATATAATGCAAAGAACATCGGTATCTTTTATTTTATATTGAATAACAACAGTCATTAGTCCGTCAGTGCAGCAAACTGGAAATATCTAAAACCGAACCGTCGACCTGGCGAATAGCCTTTACTATAAAAAATAATATTCAAGATCGGACAAGTTGTAAATGTACCATGTTTTAAAAAAAAAAAAACTGACAAAGGATCCATCTAAAGCTCCATTATAATGAATCTCTAGCTTTCTCTTATAGTATATAAAAAATAAATGGAATGCGTTTAAGTGATAAGCCACATATGGTAATTGCTATGAACTGCAAGAGTTTAGTAGCTAAAGTATCGATAAAACTTTTGCTGGGTAATTAAATTTTTTAATTGTTATTTAAAACTTGATTATGAACATAAAGAGAAAAAAAATAGTTAATCTTCATTAACAAACGTAGAATTACAATTACTCCGATCGAGCGTTTGTAAGAGGACATTAAACAAAAATCTAACCGGCATAAAAATGGAAACATCATCTCCTTAATAATAGAGAGATAGATAAATCATTCTTTTCTAATTGTTTTTAAAGATTAGTTTGCTTTGAAATGTCTAGAATTCAGTGAATAACGACGATTAATGTGTTTTCTTAAGTGTATGACTTACATAATAAATATTTGTTAGTTATGTTTGTTTTTTTTTTGATATTTTTTATTGTATATTTAAAAACCAATACAATTTATTTCTTTTTTATTTAATTTTGCTAAGATTTTATTTAAAAATTATTTTCCATTTACTGTGTTTCCCTTTATATACACGCCTTAAGTTTAAGTTATTAAAGAGAAATGAAAATGATTTATGATTTATGTTATTTTTTAAAATGTTATCTTACCAACTGCAATATAAAAAAATTATAAATTTATGAAATGATTTCAATATCCTTTTTGCCCTCTATTTAAAATTTCTGTGAAAATACAAATAAGTGCAGTAAGCTTTTAGCAAAAAAAACTCAATAAAGAAAAAAAAAAAAAAACGAAGCAGTCAGTGATTGTAAAAGTTTATCTCAAGAGCCTAAAAAAAAAAAAAATCTAAAAATAATTAGTTGTTGTTAATTTAAAACATTTAAAATTGTCAATATATTAGAAAGAAATGTACACACATACACAAACACACATACACACATTGTCAACGTTGTTTTGTATACGAATTTTATATAGATTTATTATTATGCATGTGCTTACAAAAAAAAAAGAAAAAAATAAATAAATAAAAAAGCAAATAAAAATTAAGTTGACACTAAGTTAAAAATTTTGATTTAATATTTGATCTCTCTTGTGCATAAAATGTGTTTTTTTTTTATTTCGATACAATTTATTTTCGTAAAAAAAAAAAAAAATTTATGAATAAATATTTGTTAAAAAAAAAAAAAATACATCATTAGCAAAGTTTCATCTTAAGCTTTAAGCTGACAGAAGTTTTCTTTTATTTTTATAATGAAATTTACCGAAAGATGGGAGCATTTGCCAGCCGTCAAAACGTTTGCAATAGTTAGAAGCAATCTTTGGAGGCCGCATTAAGTATATACATTTTTGATCAGCATCAAATTTTTAATCGGTTTAATCATGTCTGTCTGTTTGTCCGTGTGATGTCTGTACGAAACATTCTTCTGGTCGCAAAAACAGCAGAATAACGTTTAAAAATTGACAAAACATTTGGAAGGTCATACATGCCATGTTAATCTTGAGAATAGGTCCAATCGGTTGAAGGACCCACCTGCAATGTAAAATAAATTGAAGATTAGTATATTTACTTATTATCCAGAAACTGCCACGGATACAGCAATCAAATCTTTCAGGCATATTTTATCGACGATCTTAAAGTATCTTTATTAGAATAGAAAAAGTCGGCCAAGTGCGGAGATTTTTTTTTTTTTTTTTTTTTTTGAGGTAAAGATGGTGAGTGCAGATGATTCGGCCATTATTGTAATTGAAGGGGCAAAACTAAACTGTAAGCAGTCTTTAAGCACAGAAGTTTTAGTTGATGATGATTTGTATTATAAAGAGAGCAATTTTTTCGATGGTTGCGTTACATGTCAAAAGTTGAAATTCAAAAAACATTTCCAGTTTTTCCCAAACATTGCCTAAAATTTCTTGACTGTGTCGAGGATATTAACGCGGCTTTCTGTCTTATAATATCGTCCAGCGAAAATTGAGATCTGAATACCGGAATAGCTGTCCGCTTGACTTTTAAAGCCTTTCGGTATTTTGAAGCACAATATCAAAAGAGAATGTCCTTTGCACGGTACTTGATGCCGAAAATGTTTTCTTGCTGTGGTTTGTTCTCACGGTTCGGTAGCACAGTAATGAATCCAAATCACATTCATGGTTGTAGACTGAGATGGTTTTATTAGCATGAAAATTGAGCAAATGTCATTGCGAAGTTTTATGTTACACGGACTTGACGAATATGAATATCTTAGTTAAGATTCCAAGCATTGGTTTAATTAAGGTGCCTACGAGCTCATAAAATTAACAGCATGCCAAGGGTAATTGAAAGTGATAAGCATTTTCGGAGCAATGGCAGTAGCGCTAATCAAAAACTTCACTTACGTCCTATCCTGCATTAATGGATAGCAGTTTAAAATGGGGCCGTTCTAGGGAACTATCTGAAAACCGAATTGCGTCCTCATGAAGAAGATTTACTTGTTTC